GCTCTCCTTTATCATTCCAATGCAACACATCCTGGTGTTTTTAAATTTTATCCAACAACTGTCTAGCCCCAGCTTTGTAAATTTTGGGTACACTTTTCATGACCTCCTGCTCTACTGCTGTTGGAAGAGAATTATCTGGAGAAGCTTCCTCTGTAGATTCTGCGTTCTCAACTGGTTTGGGGGTTTCTGTCGTTTTAGGGGTCGTTAACCTCACATGGAGAGGCTGGCCTTTCCGCTGATCGTAATAAGTCAAGTACCGTTGCAACACCTGATTGTAAAGCTTCGCCTTTTCCTCATCATCAAGCTGTTTACTTTCTAAAATATCCCCCATTTGGCTATCCAGATTTTTCAGAGTTTGTGTTACAGGTGGTGTTAATATCTGCTGGCGTTGCTGCAATCGTTCCAGAGTGTTTTCAGGAACGAGAACCATGCGTCTTGTATGATTCATCTTAAGTAAGAAGCGAGCTCAACACTCGAAGAACGGGAGGTAGCAAAACACTTAAAAAGTTTCCTCCATGTTGTACCAAGATTTGCTTTTTCTTGTTTAGCGGGGTACTCTTTTCAGCTAGAGCAGTCAAGGCTTTCTTGTGCTTAAGAAGTTTCCTCTTTGCCGGTTTACTGACAGGGACTGTTTCTTTAAGTACGTTGAATACACACTCAAAAATAGTTCTTACTAAAGCGTCGTCGGCTGCTTTCAAAATTGCTTTACGTTGAGCTGGGGTACACTTGACGAGGAGCTTAAGAAAATCGTGGTTCTTTCTTAGTCGCTGGGCCATACTCAACTGATATCAATCACTACGATGGAGCTTTTTTATACCTTTCTGACATAGGCGAGCTGAGTCTCCCCAGGGAAAATGCTTGTGCGCAACCGGAAGTCAGTAGGCGTTTCCGGTTTGAGGTCGCATAACAGGTAGCCATAAGGGCGTTTTGTTGCATCCTGAAACGCTTCTTGCATGTATTTGACATGACCGGGAAACATCTGTTTCGCCAAGTGACTGACTTGACTGCTATCCCGCGGAGACTTGAACATTACCAAATAATGGCAATTCAAACTCATGTCTCTCAGTTCTTTTCCCCGGTGAAAAATATTTTGAAGAATGAAAATAACGCTTAAATTTCGGTGATGACAGCCCTTAGTAAACAAATTGGTAATTCTTTGATCATTGCTAAGCTCCTGCATTAAATCGTCAATGACAACTAAATTCCGAATGGTTGGGTTTATCATGGATTCTAAATCACCAGGAACTCCTTCGACGAACGTGATGTAGGGAATAGTCCTTAGCATCTCATCGTAAGCCGGTTGGTACATCCCATAACACCAAATGATATTTTCAGGAGCTCCGTCTATTAATTCTTCTCCAGATTCCAACAGGTGTTTGACAAACTGACTTTTTCCACAACAAGTGGGGCCAGCTACAATAACAGGAAAAGGATGTTTCCACCTTGGGTCCATGTTGACAACTGACTGGTTCAACTGCGTTTGCTCTTATTTATAGAGAAATAAATGGTCCTTGGTGGAGTATCTTTATCATATACACGAACCATGGTGGTATTTTGTAATTTAGCAAACTGGAGCCAATATTTTCTCTCTAAGTCAGACAGCTCGTGTACCTGAGCCAAATGGTTTGCTAATCGAACCAAAAATTTTGACCCACAGCCGGGAACAGGACAATGCTTGCATTTTAGTTTTTTCATGTTAACGGTACGAAAACAGACTTTAAACTGAACAAATCTATTTGCGACACGAATTTATCGTTTATTTTCGAGGGCACAACGGGCACCAAGGGCATAAAGGGCAGAAATTGAGTGGTTTTTTTTTCTCAGGCACACGCGAGAAGGTCGCGTGGGGAAGTTGTGCGTGGGAACGCACTGGCGCCTTAAGTCAGAGAATTACAAGAAACGCGTTTTTTATAAAGTGTTTTATTTATGAATCACACACGTTACAATTTTTGAAACACAATTTTATATATCTAGAGGCATAGTGGTAACTCTATCCTCCAACACTTTTCTTTTGGGGTAAAAGTAGGAAAACCCATCTCGAACTTGTTCATAAGTATACATGCTATTGTTGACTACACGGAAACCTTTATTTAGTCCTGAACTGCTTTGTTTGGTCAACAGAACATTAAGATATTTTTCTTTGTTAATGTCGTTTGTTTTCTTGTTAACCCCTTTACAACTGAACTTATCATAGGCCCCAAAGCAATAGTAGGTCTTGCTACTTAGACCAATTATTCCTGCCCCTGACCACTCTTCCTTAAATAAACCTGGTGTTCTTTTGTCATAAGCTTTGTGTTCTGGAGTGTCGGTTCGTGGAAACCAATTGGCCTTGTCTGCTTCAAATTCCTCTCTTAACTCTGATTTTACTAAACTATCAACTGATGGACCCGCGATCGCGATATAGGCAGAGTCTGTATCCACTACGATCAAGATATTTATCCATGAAATCAAAATAGAACTGAAGCATTCTGAGTTTAGCATATTGGTAAACAAAAAAACCGATTTGCATGGGTAGATTCAACTTGACCGTTTTCTTGCAAGACTGGACTTCATAAGTGTTCTCTTCGATCCGGTCAATCTGTCTGAAGAAGGGTGTGTTGATAAGCCGTGAGGCCTTTGTTTCTTCGCAGAACTTAACCTCTCTGTGGCGTTCTTGGTCCGTGATCGTCTTCCCGTAACTGGAATTCCCGACCTAATAAATAATGTATCAGAACATTAACAAGGTTTGCATAAGGAAAATAAGTGGCAAAATGCTTGTACAAATGAAATCATACTTACTAATTTCATTGTATCTGCGATAATAGCCTTGTTCGGGTCCACATCCCAGCACGCCTGGCGTCGGAGACAGCTTCTCCAAAGGGCTGGAAACAAGGAACGGGTGTGTACTCGACCACTTGGTAAATCCTGGTGACTTCTAACCCGTGCTCCAAGTACCATTTAATGAGCGGTGTGGCTAACAAGATCTTTTCTCCAAAATAGCTACCTATTAGACTTCTACGAGGTTGAGGCATGATATGTTGCTCCTCGGCAAAGGTTTGCATGTATTCACCAATATCTTCTTTAGAAATCTGCGTATTTTTTAAGATTGGACACATTTCGGAGAACTTGGGTTTCAGATGGTCAGGTACTGTGATGTCACACTCGACAACACCAAAGAGAGACTCGTCTCTGATAGCTTTTATGATCTGATTTTGATCCAGGGTCTGGTGGTGGTCAAGGGGTCGGTGAAACTTTCTGTTCATGAAATATTGTACTGCAGAGTTAGTTTTTTCATTCGGCGCCACTGGCACTCCCACATCTCCACGAGATTGTAGCCTTGATCTCTGATATACTTTGAATTTGCTGTAGTTTCTTCCCTGAGCTCAGCCATTGGTTTCTTTCTTTTTTCATTAATTTCTTTTCCTTTAGTGAGGTAGCAGTTATGCCCATGCCACCAGCAGCCATGGAACTGAAAGACTGTTTGCGAAGGACCGTGAAAACCATCCACTGGTAGCCTTCTTTCACCTATGCGTTTTTCTGTATTGTTCATTTGGTGGCGTATAAAAATTCCTCCTTCATGTGCCTTCCACTCTAACCACTCAGTGGCCATCTTGGTGGAGCTTTCTTTTTTGAAGTTGGTTTCTTCGCGTCGTCTCGTAAAAGATCCGGTAGGCATGTTTTGCATGATGGCCCAGAGATAGAGCGCGTTGGCGTCATATCCTACTATTTTCTGGCACATTTTTGGTTCTTTGCCTTGATCTGTTATCTCTCTCTCTCTGATCTTGGTCTTGTCTTCTTCATGATATCGGTGGAAGATGATGCTGGGGCCTCCTACCAGATTTTTCTTGAACAAGGTGTATAAATCTTTATTTTTTTCGTCAAACAGAGAGAAGAAGATGCCAGATTCCAGGGTGGTAAAGAGGTACGTCAAGGTAACACCGGGAATAGAAATACCTTGTCTTAACATGTCGATCTTTTTATCTTTCCAGAACGCGCACATTTTTTCCAGGGCCCCACAAAAGGGTTGGACATCTAGGTTGTTGTACCAGATGAGAAAATCTTTAAATGTCTGCATGTTGTTGTCAGACCACACTTGTTGGCAGTACTGGTAGTCTTCTTCAGAAATGTTTTCGTTTTTCAGTGTAGAGAAGAAGGCTTCGTGAGGAGGAAGAGAAGGGTGGTCTAACTTGTCAAGAGAATCCAGCCATTCGTATGGGAAGAACCCCTTGGTTTGAGGACACTCGTAGGCCTTCAGAAATTTGTCGTAGCTGAAACCGGGTGCAAGAAAGTTGGTGACGTCGAGGAAGCGAAGATGTGGGGTCTTTAAGCACATGAAATTGTGGTTACGCTTGATAGTAAACTGAACGTCTTCATTCTGGACCAGGACAGGAAACAGAAATTCTTTGACGGCAGTCAAGTCATATTTACCAGAATTGAAGCCTAGGACAGGAAGTTCTTGTAGATATTCTTGGAAACGATCTCTCAGTTTCTTTAAAGGGTGCACTTTTTTCTTAGGTTCTGGGCTGTTGTCCTCTGGTCTGTCATATTCACACGTGATCATTCTCACTCTGATCCTCGTGTTCGCGATCAAAGGCCCTGTAAAACGAGGCACCTTGTTCTTCTACGTCATCGTCAATAAAGACACGATCTTCTTCGGTTTCAGAATCGATTTCTTCTTCCTCTTCATTATCTGTGTCCATGGGATCTTCTCCTTCATCATCGCTATCTTCCTGGGTGAGGTTTTCTACTGTGTTAGTTTTTGAAGGGTCACCAGCTTCTGATTTTTGCTGTAGGTCTTGCAGCTTTTGTTCGATGGCTACAAAAAGAAAGTTAAACTCTTGTCTTAACAGGTCATAACTCTTTTCACTGATTTTTACCAGGTGTTCTAACATCTCTTTGACGAGCTGTTTAGAGTCCCCATCTGACACAAAGCACTTGGGTTGGTCGTAGTCTGGAACGTTGGAGCAGACACTGACACTTAGAGGGATATGCTTGGCGTTCCAGGTGAGTTTTTCTGTATCCCTGAGACTGGTGTGCGAGCTGAACGTGCATTCGAAGTCAAAGGTGGCTCTGTAGGGAAAGTACTTTAAATGCTGTGGAATGGTGAAGCCTTCATCTTCGAGCAGCTGAAAGATGGTGGGTGCCGTCTTGTATGCACCGCCAGGAAACATGTAATGGACTTTGGCCTCGCAGGTTCGCTCATGACGATTTAACATACCAACATGTTTTCAATATTTTCCACATCGAGAGCAGCAGTAGGACTTGTCGTATTTCTTCAAATCTTTGATATAAGAAAAGTGGCGCTGGTAAAGGTTAAGGTAGAGGGTACTTGGATAGTGGCAAAGAGATCGATGGATCAGCTCAGCGGCAATCTCTGGCTTGGTATCATCGGGTTCATCGTCTTCATTTTCTTCTCCATCGGGTTTAGTGGGTTCGAGGGAATAGACAAAAATGCTGACTTCATATAGGTGTTCTAGGTCGATCAGTTCTTTCAGCTTTACACCACAAAATTTCTTTTTCTCAGGAAAAAATTATCGATATTTCTCATAGTAATGCTTGGCATCCCGCTCCAGATTCTTTTGGTGACAACCGTTATGGAGAGCCAAGGCACGGAAGAAGCAAAGATTGTCGCTGTAGACGTTTCCATTATTACGGTTGCGATCTAAGGCTACTAAACCATGGTTCTCGGCAAGGTAAGCAGGTAAATCTGTACCACGACCAATGGGGTGACCTCTGATTTTTGTTATAAAGAAAGTGATATTGGTCACCTGTTGTACCACCCATTTAGAGTTGGGGCAACGTTGGCGTACCCATTCTAGGACATCGAGATTCTGCAATGCTTCACGGACATGTGGAAGATCGGCTGCGGTTGTGATTTGGAATGGCTCTTCAAAGACTTGATCGTTGTTCCTAGAAGCGTAGTAATATTGCAGTGCACCGGTTTCGTTGTTTCTCAGAATGAAACCAAAGGAGACATTAAGTTTAAACACGGTGAACTGGTCGGTAAAGATCTCGTTAAGGTGCTGTATAACCTCTTGAGGTTGCGGGGAAGACAGACGATAGTTATACCAGTCCAGGAGCCGGTTTTGGCGGTTGAATCGAGTGCGGATTTGATGCCAGTGGCAACGGTACTCGAGAACAGAACTTTGTTGGACTTCAGGTAAGTCAGTCACGGTTCTTGGATCTTCCTGCCAGCTGGAACTTGAAGTTGCTTTTTTCTCGATAGGATTGGGTTTCATTTTCTTGGGTTTTGGCTCTAAATGGGAAATAAAAATTCCAATGTCTATTCCCAAATCCAAACGAGGTATCCAGAAACACAAAAGAGTTGTTTATACAATGTATTGTTTAACATCCTCAAATTAGCATACGACTAATCCAATTTTTTTCCACTTCATTGCTTTTACCTAACATTTCTGTAGGATTCACTCTCTGAACAAAAGTTTTGTTCCATCATGTCTAAAATATGTTGTGCTAAGCCTCTGTACAAAGGCAAACCAAAGACTTGTTCGAACATACTCTAGCCTCTATTGTTTTAACGTCCCACGGCTAAACTTTGCATACGACTAATCCAATTGTTCCACTCCACTGCCTTCACCTCAAATTTGCATACGATGCAGCTTTCAAACAAAAGACATGTTCAAACATGCCATAGCCTCTATTGTGTTGCAAGAAGCAAGTAAAAAGTTACCTACGACTAATCGTTGACACAAAATATAATTTTATCTTACTGAAATACAACAGAAAAGTTCACTGTTTCCTACCTGTTTCCTCGTCCCTTGGACGTTTCTTACTTAAAGAGGGTTTACTATGAGCTGTTTGCTGGTGCGCTCGGAATGGAGCCAGATTGTAAAATGTCTCTCCACAGGTACTACACTTATACTCCCGCTGAGCCGCTCGGCGTTCGTGAACTTGTTTCACGTGGCGCTGCAAGTGTGACATTCGATGAAAGCTCTTGTCGCACTTATCACACTGATGTTGTTTTTCGTTGGTATGTGTTTTTTCGTGGCGTTTTAATTTATCTGGTCGAGTGAAAACTTTTCCACACGCTTCACATGCATGCCGAGCACTTTTGGCAGGAGGTATGTCTACATCATCCTAAAACATCAAATGAATCGTATATTAACTACCTTGACAAGCTAGAGAAATAAAGTACTTACTAAAACACTTACCTGTGCTGCTCTTTTCCTACCCATGCCGCTCTGAACTTGGTTGGAAGAAGGTTCCTGAAAAAGTGTAATGGAATAATAATTTCAACAACAGAAATTGATTTAGTACGACGGACAATAGTTATGCTATAACATTTCAATAAGGACTCATACCGTTTCAAATTCTTTCTCCCAATCGCTCCATGGGTCCATCACTTCGGGTGGAATAATGGAATCCACCAAGGGAATGTTGGAAGACTGATCCTGGAATGGAACTACATGTTACTAAAAGAATCTAGCCTTGAATGACATTCAAACGTTAATAACTTACCTCTTCTGGAAATGTTAAGGTCATCATTCGATCCACCGCTTCAGAAATCTGATCGCTTGGTATCTCGTTGTGCCAGATGAAATTTTCAAACTCTTCCAAAGTGGTGAACTGGTTGAAAGCCATGACTACTCGCACTCAACTTACTCACAATGTGTGAATGATGCGCTTGGCAGTGAGCAGGCTTTTATGCCGTTCAAACAATAAAAATACGGCAACCAACCAGAATGCTTCGTCAAACGAGACAGCCAATGAGCGTCTTTCTAATTCCGGTCAACCAATCAAAACAACTATGACATCATAGTACCCCGGAATACATAAACATCATCTTCCAAAAATAACTAACCTGTCAAACCGATTATACCAGCCATGACCGCCACAAGATAAAAAAAGCACATGACGTCATTGATAAACCCGTCAAACTGGATATACTTAATGAGATTCCACCGCAAGTTAATGAGATTCTTGCGCATTTTATTCATGACATCAAGACAATAGCCTATGACGTCAGCGACGTTAATTTATTTCCCCCCCCAACCTTAATGAGATTCCCCCCCAAAAAAACGGCCTAACCGGTGCACCCTATACTACTCACTTTCAAGTCGTAGTCGTGCAACGACGGCAAAGAAATGTACCAAAAAAGCGTGATGCACGTGCAAAGCTCTTGTTTTGCTAATCTAAACGTATTGCTTTTTTGCTGTTTTCGTTGCCGTCGCGGTCGTCGTTGCTTAAAACCCATTGACGGCCGAGCCTGCCAAAAAAACCGTACAAGACTACACTGCTTTCAAACATTGCAACTTTCTCAATCGCGCGAACATTGCCTAAACTGTCAGTTGTAAGCATTTTAAGGGTAGACAGTCCTTCAAAGTGGGATATCCAATAAACGCGAAAAAGTCAGCGCTTTTTGCAAAATATTACCTTCTGAATTGGGACAAGAACGAAAATGATCGTTTTTTACGTCAGAATGACGTTTCCAGAAAACTCGAGCCTTCAGTGTTTCAGAACAGCACCACGTTCCATGGTAACTGCAAATACGGAGTCACGAAATCCTATGGCTTGTTTGTATGTAGAAAATCACTCGAAAACGTAAAAAGTCCTGGTAGTCAATGGGTCAAGCTCCCTTATGTCTCGCCATTGTGACAGCGCTAAAAAGAATGAAGACAAATGATCTTTTGTTTAGGATTTGATGGGTTTGTGAGACTAACTCGGACACTGGGCACTGGACACTTGGGTCCCGCATTAAAGGGGCTGTGTTACGGTGTCTAGTTCATTTTGTTAATCATGTCAATAAAGAGAAGTCGTTATGTCACCTTGCTATGGTTGCAAAATTTCTGGATCTCAACAACTGTGGCCCAGCAGTGGTAGAAAAAAAGAAGAAAATTGATACTTGTGACTTTCCTGTACGTGATTGCACTCAGTAACAAATTGTAGCCCATACTTTTTCTACCATCGTTCGACAACGCAAATAGCCGTCTCTGTCAAGAAAGATTGCTGAGTTCCAGACAATCGGCGACAAAATGAGTTGAGATACTTCGCCCAAAATTAGGCTTTTTTACGTTTTATGAACTTGAAAAGGAGGAAATATAGCTTTCCTCCCCCATCCCCTCCGTACAATGTTGTGCCCTTGTTCTAGCTACCTATAGAAAACAACAAACACCCCAACTTTGAATGGAGGGGACAGGGGAGGGTGCGGATTCGTTTGTTCTCTGAAGTCACCCTATTTAAGTACAATGTCTCAACAATTTTGTTGCCGATTGTCTGAATCTCAAAAGTGGCCATACGTCCTTTAGAAAGTTAATTGAATTCCTTTTTTTATGCTGGGATGTAAGACCCCTGGTGGCTTTTTATTTGGTATGTTTGACTCCATCATACCTATTTGAGAACAATTAGAATAAGGCGATTTCGTTATTTTCAGTGCGTGACATTTCGTGTCACGCTTAACTGTGCCTTGACATCGTTCGATGTAGCGCGTCGGGCACGATTTCTTATTCTCTCCTTTATCGAAACAAAGAACAAAGTGAAAAGGATAGAAAACTTAATAGATTTCTAAGCATTAAAGTAGTTATAATGGCTAAAATTGCTCTTTAGGAGGAATTTCCACGAGTAACCACGAGTAACCACTATGAGTAAAAAAGAATTTTAATCCAATTATCTTTTAAGAACAAAGTTGGTTACTCGTGGTTACTCGTGGCCAGTCTCCTCCTGGCCTCATAGTTTCTACTGTAAAGTACATTCTTCAAAGACCCTCATGGGTATATGGGCAACGAATTTGCTGCACAGATTTAGCGATGCTGTGCAGCTTTGCTGTGCATTAGAAGTTGGAACATTTTTCCTGAAAATTCTCCTGCGCAGAGCAATCATGGCTATTTTATTGTCCATCCCACCCTTATCAAAAAGCCAAACTTCGAATAAATACTTCGAACTTACTAGGGATATATTCAAATACAATATATTATCTGCCATCGATTCCTACCAATCACACTTAGTTACCAGAGGAAAATCAATCATTCGGTACGTGGGTATGCTGCGTAATTACTTGAAATCACTGCCGAGTACAAAGATTGTCAAAACTAATTTTCCCTCGAAAAACACAGGAAAGGGATTATATGGGTATCTTATCTATCTTGTGAAAAACGACCCAGTGAATATAGTAATCTCAACTAGTTACCGTCTCCTAACCGGTGCTAATAGGACAACAGCGCGTAGATTTCGATTCAGACAATCGGCGACAAAATGAGTTGAGACACTTCGCCCAAAATTAGGCTTTTTTACGTTTTATGAACTTGAAAAGGAGGAAATATAGCTTTCCTCCCCCATCCCCTCCGTACAATGTTGTGCCCTTGTTCTAGCTACCTATAGAAAACAACAAACACCCCAACTTTGAATGGAGGGGACAGGGGAGGGTGCGGATTCTCAACAATTTTGTCGCCGATCTGTCAAGAAAGATTGCTGAGTTCCAGAGATTTTGCCACGATAGTAACGTGACGTCATACTATGGCGCGCTGTTTGGTTCAAAATTATTTTTGTCAGTTGTATCATGTAACTGTATTCTCTGTTTATCTCTCAGACCTTATTTGGCATCTTTTGTAGTTGCTTTTCTATGTGTCTCCTCTCAATATTATAATTTGGTGTTCAGAGAAAGACTATAAGTTAAACTTTAACTCTGTAGGTTGGTACATTACTCGGTCAGTTTTAATCACATTCCTGTCAGTTGTAGGCACTATACTGTCAGTTGTTTACTCGGTCAGTTCTAAATTACTCAGTCGGTTGTACGCACTACGCTGTCAGTTGCACTCATTACTCTGTCGGTTGTACGCACTACTCTGTCGGTTGTATGTACTATTCTGTCAGTTGTACGCATTACTCTGTCGGTTGTACCCATTACTCTGTCGGTTGTACGCATTACTCTGTCGGTTGTACCCTGTCAGTTGTAAACATTTGCTCTGTCAGTTGTACCCATTACTCTGTCGGTTGTACATACTACTCTTTCAGTTGTACGCATTACTCTGTCTGTTGTACGCATTACTCTGTCGGTAGTACGTACTATTCTGTCAGTTGTACGCATTACTTTGTCAGTTGTAAATATTTACTCTGTCTGTTGTACACCTTACTCTGTCGGTTGTAAACATTTACTAAGTCATTTGTACGTACTACTCTGTCAGCTGTAAACATTTACTCTGTTGGTTGTACGCACTACTCAGTCTGTTGTAAACAAATACTCTGTCAGTTGTGTACAATACTCCGTCAGTTATAATCATATACTCTGTCGGTTGTGTACATTACTCTGTCAGTTGTAAATATATACTCTGTCAGTTGTGTACATTACTGTCTTAGTCATTTGTAAATAGATACTCTGTCCTTTGTACACAGTACTCAGTCAGTTGTATTCTACCAGATAAATTAAATTTGCTTTTTCAAACAGAAGCCTATTTTAAAATAATAAAGTGGTTCAACGTTATTGGTCTTATTTCGCAAGGAAGGTTTCAGAAAAAAATTGTAACATCTTTCAGGATCCTTTCACCACAAGTTCAGAGGGATGGATTATTAGAATAGTGATGAGAGATGGGGAAAAGAGCAAAGCAAAAAAGAGAGAGAGAGAGAGAGAGATTTTTACCATGGTAGTTGTGAAAAAAAAACAAACAAACAAACGAATTCTTGCGTATTCCAAAAATCCCCTCTCCCCCGATCACGTTTCTAATGTCCCGCAACATTTAAGAACTGAAGAAGGTGCTGGCCCCGGCGGGGTGGAGGAGGTTACTCATCAAATGCTTATACAGGGAGGTCCAACCCCTTACCCTTTTATACACCATTTTTTTACGAAAAAGGTACCCCTTTCGTATACCTTCTATTGACAAATAGTACTCCTGTTTAGAACTTTGCATCCCTTTTAACTGCTGCCAGAAATGCATTGTCTTTTAAATAGGAATACAGACCCAAATGACAGATTTTCCTATCTTTTTATATACTTCAACTTGTGAAATCCCTATCCTTTCATATACCTGAAGCCTGAAAAAGGTACCCCTTTTGGGCGGAGCCTCCCCGTATAGGCCATCAAACGACTACCTCCTTAAAACGGCGTAAAAATGACAGTGTAAATGTTTACAACTGACAGGGTACATCCGACAGAGTAATGCGTACAACTGAGAGAGTAACGTGTGCAACGGACGAAGTAATGCGTACAACTGACAGAGTAATGAGTACAACCGACAGAGCAGTACGTACAACTGTCAGAGTAGTGCGTAAAAGTAGTGCGTAAAATTGACCGAGTAAATGTTGACAACTGACAGGGTACAACCGACAGAGTAGTGCGTACAACAGACAGAGTGATGCGTATAACTGACAGAGTTGTGTGCTTAACAGACAGAGTAATGCGTACAACAGACAGAGTAGTGCGCGCAACAGACAGAGTAATGTGTACAACTGACAAATTAGTACGTACAACTGACAGAGTAGTGCGTAAAAGTAGTGCGTAAATTGACCGAGTAAATGTTTACAGCTGACAGGGTACAACCGACAGAGTAGTGCGTACAACAGACAGAGTGATGCGTATAACTGACAGAGTAGTGTGCATAACAGACAGAGTAATGCGTACAACAGACAGAGTAATGCGTACAACAGACAGAGTAGTGCGCGCAACAGACAGAGTAATGCGTGCAACTGACAGAGAGGTACGTACAACCGACAGAGTAATGGGTACAACTGAGAGAGTAACGCGTGCAACTGACGAAGTAATGCATACAAATGACAGAGTAGTGCGCACAACAGACAGAGTAATGCATACAACTGACAGACTAGTGCGCACAACAGACAGAGTAATGCATACAACTGACAGAGTAGTGCGTACAACCGACAGAGTAATGCATACAACTGACAGAGTAGTGCGTACAACAGACACACAGAGTAATGCATACAACTGACAGAGTAGTGCGTACAACCGACAGAGGAATTCATACAACTGACAGACTAGTGCGCACAACAGACAGAGTAATGCATACAACTGACAGAGTAGTGCGTACAACCGACAGAGTAATGCATACAACTGACAGACTAGTGCGCACAACAGACAGAGTAATGCATACAACTGACAGAGTAGTGCGTACAACCGACAGAGTAATGCATACAACTGACAGAGTAGTGCGTACAACAGACAGAGTAATGCATACAACTGACAGAGTAGCTAGTGCGCACAACAGACAGAGTAATGCATACAACTGACAGACTAGTGCGCACAACAGACAGAGTAATGCATACAACTGACAGAGTAGTGCGTACAACCGACAGAGTAATGCATACAACTGACAGAGTAGTGCGTACAACAGACAGAGTAATGCATACAACTGACAGAGTAGTGCGTACAACCGACAGAGTAATGAGTGCAACTGACAGAATAGTACGTACAACTGACAGAGTAATGCGTAAAAGTAGTGTGTAAAATTGACAGAGTAAATGTTTACAACTGACAGGGTACCACCGACAGAATAATGTGTACAACTGAGAGTAGTGCGTACAACCAACAGAGTAATGCATACAACTGACAGAATAGTGCGCACAACAGACAGAGTAATGCGTCCGGGGGGTACTCCCTAATATGGGCTATATAGGTATGTGCGGCCCCAAAGGGTAGGGTTTTTCAGCCGTTTTGGTCATAAATTGGGTATCGATTTTGGCTATTTTGCCGCCATTTTGGTCATAAATAGGGTAACGATTTTTGCACTGTAGTCTTGAATGCACTTTTTTAGAAGAAGCTACTTCCTTATCATGTCCCCCTAACCTAATAAAAGCAGATAAACATTGCCTTTAACATTGGTCTGAACTAGGGAAATAATTATAAGGCAGGTCTGAAACAGGGTATTGATTTAAGGGTCAGGTCATAAATAGGGTATCAAATTTTTGGTTAGGTCATAAATAGGGTAGGGAAAATCGCAGATTTTGGTCATAAATAGGGTAAGGGTTTTGGGAAGCGGGCCGCACACTCCTACCCAATTTTTCTGCGAGTACCCCGGGAATGCGTACAACTGACAGAGTAATGCGTACAACAGACAGAGTAATGCGTACAACCGACAGAGTAATGCGCAAAACTGACCGAGTAATGTACCAACCTACAGAGTTAAAGTTCGACTTGCAGTCTTTCTCTGAACACCAAATTATAATATTGAGAGGAGACGCATAGAAAAGCAACTACAAAAAATGCCAAATAAGGTCTGAGAGGTAAACGAAGGATACAATTGCATGATACAACTGACAAAAATAGTTTTCACACTTCTTCTTTCTATTGCGCGTCCTTATTTGCTAACGACTATGAAACTTGAGAAATAACTCGTGAAGTGACAAAGTCACAGCTTCGTGTCAAACAAATCTGAAAAAAAAAAAGTTTTAGGCTCACAAGTTTTAAAATCCACAACTGCAATCCGTGTAATATTCTTCTTTAAGTTTGTCAGTCCGTCAATCCTGTTGTATTTACCTTGTTATTAATACCTTCCTTTCATGTTATGAGCAGATATTTTTAAGTCTCACTCAGTTAGGTGGCCAGCTGTGTTACGAGAGAGTCAGCTGTATTTCCCTTTCCAGCTTAAAAGTCCTGTGACGTAAGAACAGTTTCACGTTTTGCAGATGTGTCGTGTAAGAAACAAATTTTAAGTGGTGTGAAGAGAGTTTTTAAGGGGTCATCTTTTACACCAAAATTGTTGAAATTTATTTGATTTTTTCCGTTCACCCAACAGAGGACATGAATATACGGAGAGAGATCACAATTACTTATGAAGAGCTTCTGGCCTTAGGTGAAGAGTATGTGACAGACGTCGAGCCTCATCAGCCTGTAAGTACGAAGGCTCCAAATGACGTAATACAAATTAAAGATTAAAATGACACTAAGCAATACCCACCTGCCACAAAACAATACCTAACCAACATGTATCCTTGTAGGTCTTGTATAAAGGAAAACGGTCCAAAAAGAAGATGGATTTAAGCAAAAAAATGTATGCAGATGAAGTTGAGGTATGGTTTAGCAACAGATCTCCGGCTACGGAAAATTGATATTCATTTACATTGTAGCCATCTTCAAAAGTTAGTTTGTTTGGGAAACGTGACAATGAAAATTTTCTTCTCGGCATCAGACGACCGAGGAACAATTTTTACTCAAGTCACATGCAGCCTAAGGGAATAAAAACCCAGCATCGTCATTTCTTATCGTTACCTTTTTTGTCTTCTAAGAATCCGCGAGAGGGGAGAAATTAGAAGAGATTGTACCGTGGCACGAGAAAGGATACCGTTGACTGTCGCTTGTAAGCCCTGGGGCCGGTTTCTAAAAAGTCTTCGGTAATTTTTCGGGCCCGAATTCAAATATCAGGGTTGCCATTCATTAAAAAGTTAAAAATTCCCTGACTTTTCACTGACCTTTTATTAATGAGAAACAATCGATGTTCACATTCGCTTTGCAAGTCATCAATATTTTTCTTTTCATTTTCAACCTCTTTCCGCTATTCGCGGAAAGAGGAAGAAGGAATTTGGAAGAAAGCATTCAGAACGAAATTACAAAACCACTCACCGGCACAACTACTACATGTGTCAGGTATAGAGTGTGAAAGTGATCACCATACTTGCTTTGCAGCATACTTTTCATCTTTTCCGAAAGAAAATGCATTTCAAAATCTTGAGGAAAGCTTCTGAACTACAAACCGGAAAACAGAATTCACTGACTTTTCACTGACTTTGACAATATCAAAGATTTTCCGTGACTTTTCAAAACATTCCCTGACTTTTCCGACCTTGAAAAATGTTCGTTTTTCTCTGACTTTTAACTGACCGTGGCAACCCTGAATATTTAAATCGAAATATAAATGCATTTAAATGCAATTTAAAGGAGTTAACAACTAAGAGCGCCTGGGTGCCTAGGTCAGTATGAGGTGCCATTACCGCCAAAATTCAGTTATCGTTACTTTCGTAAATGGTGCCTTCGTTTTCATAAATGGTGCCTCTGTTTTTATAAATGGTACCTCTGTTTTTGTAAATGGTGCCTCCAATTTTGTTTATGGTGCCTCTGTTTTCATAAATGGTGCCTCTGTTTTTGTAAATGGTGCCTCCAATTTTGTTTATGGTGCCTTCGTTTTCATAAATGGTGCCTCTGTTTTTGTAAATGGTGCCTCCAATTTTGTTTATGGTGCCTTCGTTTTCACATATGTTGCCTTGTTGACTTGTTAATGGTGCCTCTTATTTTGTGAAACTGGTGCCTTTATCTTTGTATATGGTGCCTCTGTTGTTTTAAAAAATACTGCCGCTGTTTTCGTAAATGGTGCTTCAAATATTCAGCAGTCTGGGAACGACTCTCTAGTGACTTAACCAAGGAAAACTGGGGCTCGGTGTCAAAATGGCGGACTCGTTAGCCTGTCTTCGCGGTCTTGTTACAGGAGAAATTGCAAACATTTGCAACAGTTTACAGAACCATAGAATACCAGTCTATTTAAAATGTTCAAAAAATACCAAGGCAAGCAGCGTTTTTGCATGTTTCCTTGAGGCTGTGTCAGAGTTTGGTCTACCATCCCGGGTACGCTCTGAAAATGTTGGAGTTTCCATGTTCATGCTTCAGTGACCACCATGGATGCGGTTGTTCTACAGTTGTTCTACAGCAGCAAGAGGTGACACTAATAAATGACTGGTTTTACAGGGTTTCCAATTATGTTTTTTAACACTCACGAACTCGTGAAAGGTGAGTGGTTTTTGGAATTTATAAGTCACAAAATCATCTTCTAGCTCTAGCATATTTGCAAGTGAGCATAAATTTCCTCCAGTAGAAAGTTGCTGTTGAAGAATTTAGTGGCAAAAAATGCATGCATAGATTTATTCTTTCAAGAAAGAAAGTGGCTGTGCATAGAACCTAATAAGCGCATTTTATCTACATGTTTACACTGTACTTGGTAAACAAAGGGGGGTCAGATCAGTGACGTCACACTTATTAACCTCTTATATTATATGAAAAAAAAAATACCACCAAAACCCAACCATGTTCCTACTATGTGGGTACGGTTAGTTTCTAATATTGTTGTAAAGAAACAGAAAATAAAATCAGTGAACTGTAACAGCAGGATTCATCACAATTTAATCAACAGTTTGATTCCAGGTCATTAGAAAAAAACTGAAACTAAATGGCAGTGCCTTAAATTGACTATAATTTTGTTATAATGTGAAAGACTATAAAGCAGTCAATATCTTCTTAAAAATGCACAAACCCGTGTTATAAAGAACTTTTCTTCATTTAAACATCATAAATAATCTGGAACAGTTTACCTTTCAGTAACGTAAACAAAACTATGTTTTTTAATCACTTTCACAAAACTGTAATAATTTTAAAGTTGTACCATTCCCTGCAACATGAAACTTAAACACCTTCAAAAAGCCCAAATCATTTGGCAATGGGGTTGCAGAATGTTTTGAAGAGGAAGCCATGCCAGCACTTATTGCATCCTTTGATTCCCAGAATTCTGTTTCCAAGGGCTTTTGTTCTGGAAGGACACGTAACAGTGAAAATGAGAGTAGCAAAAACAGTGTTTTGCTTGAATAAATCCATTGTTGATTTTTTTCGTTTTTTTTTGTGTGTGCTACTAGAAGTTTTGCCTATAAAGACTATGAGTGTGCAACAATTTTTTGTTGCATGCTTTTAGGAAATTCTTCACCACAAGAAAACCATGTCCAGCATGAAAGCAGGGCACCTTTTTTCCCTCTTTTCCACAGTACAGTTGAAGGAAGAAACTGCAAGCAATAATTTTTTTTTCTGTTTTTCGTACCGCATCAGGATAGGTGGAAGTTGAAGTTATCTTTCAGATTCTCAAGATTGTTATGTAATAATGGAACAACCAGCTGCCCATGTACCTCTCCCCTTTTTTCCCATAAGTCAAATGTTTGGACCCCTGTTGGACTTATTACATCATATTCCTCTCAGTGTGTATTAAAACATGCAAACATTAAATTTAAACTAATGATCCAACATGCCGTAAATGGATGTTAAATACTAGTGAATGCCTTCCCACCATTATCACAAACTGCTTGAAGTGCAGCCAGGAAGGTGTCCTTGTCAGGGAAATTTCTTGGCAAGGTTACATTCTTTGTGCAAGTAGAGGAAAAAATGGAACCAGCATCCTCAAATTCGATCCTGATCCTCCCTAAACCAAACTCTGGTAAGCAGGGTGCCCCAGTAGCAAAGGTGAGGAAAGCCTTTAGAATATCTGGTGTTGCACCAATTATGAACTCAGTCACGTGCTCCATGATGGTTTTTTCAGCATCACTCATCTCTGATGGAAACATCAATATTTCCTTGATGTCAGAGCCCTTCATTTCCTTTTCTCCTGCCACAAATAGCTCTTTGAAAGGCCCAGGATATACTTGCATTCTGGACCCGAATCCCAGAGTCTGAAGCCCTTCCCTTAGTTGATCTAAAAGTATTTTGGGCTGTCCAATGGCATCATGTACAATAAGGCTTTGAATGACTCTCATTTTGTTATCATTCTGAAAGACATTCACAGAACAACAATAAATACAGTAAGAAACTGGTCAACGACCTGTAAGTTGTAGTTGGAGGTAACAATATCCTTGAGAAGGAGATTGCAACATTAATTTGCATGTACATACAGGTAGATCCGTTCTATTCATGAAAACACATGCACCTGTCCCAAGCTGGTCAAATGAAGTCCACAATAAGAGGTGTCATAAGGGGCATCACTTTCAAAAAAGACTGCTCTTTTATTATAACAATGATTCAGATTTTAGGTATGTGAAAATTATTTTTAATTACTTGTCATTTTATCCAATTTATGTAATTTGTAAGGATCTGTATTTTAGATATTTTTAAATTTATTTTGTTGTATAGAATACTTTATTTTTAATCTGTTTCTCACTGTTTATTTATTCACTGGATGGTGATTTAACCAGTGGATAGGGTTAATCACATTTTGAGCAACTGTAGCCTGCGTAGCAGGCGCTTGGAAGTAGTGGGCACAAGAAAAAATGGGCACGCACGGAGACACGCGAGGGGTGTCTCCCTCGCGCGCGCCCGTTCTCTCTTTCGCCCACTACTTCCAACGCAGGCTAAGCAACTGGGGCCTGATCTAAAAAAACATTATTTTTGCTTCTCTTCTTTTAAACTGTTTGGTTTCATGTTGCAGGGAATGGTACAACTTTAAAATTATTACAGTTTTGTGAAAGTGATTAAAAAACATACAGTTTTGTTTACGTTACTGAAAGGTAAACTGTGCCAGATTATTTATGATGTTTAAACGAAGAACAGTTCCTTATAACACGGGTTTGTGCATTTTTAAGAAGATATTGACTGCTTTATAGTCTTTCACATTATAACAAAATTATAGTCAATTAAAGGCACTGCCATTTAGTTTCAGTTTTTTTCGAATGACCTGGAATCAAACTGTTGATTAAATTGTGATGAATCCTGCTGTTACAGTTCACTGATTTTATTTTCTGTTTCTTTACAACAATATTAGAAACTAACAGTACCCACATAGTAGGAACATGGTTGGGTTTTGGTGGTATTTTTTTTTCATATAATATAAGAGGTTAATAAGTGTGACGTCACTGATCTGACCCCCCCTTTGTTTACCAAGTACAGTGTAAACATGTAGATAAAATGCGCTTATTAGGTTCTACGCACAGCCACTTTCTTTCTTGAAAGAATAAATCTATGCATGCATTTTTTGCCACTAAATTCTTCAACAGCAACTTTCTACTGGAGGAAATTTATGCTCACTTGCAAATATGCTAGAGCTAGAAGATGATTTTGTGACTTATAAATTCCAAAAACCACTCACCTTTCGCGAGTTCGTGAGTGTTAAAAAACATAATTGGAAACCCTGTAAAACCAGTCATTTATTAGTGTCACCTCTTGCTGCTGTAGAACAACTGTAGAACAAACGCATCCACGGTGGTCACTGAAGCATGAACATGGAAACTCCAACATTTTCAGAGCGTACCCGGGATGGTAGACCAAACTCTGACACAGCCTCAAGGAAACATGCAAAAACGCTGCTTGCCTTGGTATTTTTTGAACATTTTAAATAGACTGGTATTCTATAGTTCTATAAACTGTTGCAAATGTTTGCAATTTCTCCTGTAACAAGACCGCGAAGACAGGCTAACGAGTCCGCCATTTTGACACCGAGCCCCAGTTTTCCTCGGTTAAGTCACTAGAGAGTCGTTCCCAGACTGCTGAATATTTGTAGCACCATTTACGAAAACAGCGGCAGCATTTTTTAAGACAACAGAGGCACCATATACAAAGATAAAGGCACCAGTTTAACAAAATAAGAGGCACCATTAACAAGTTTAGAGGCACCATATACAAAGATAAAGGCACCAGTTTAACAAAATAAGAGGCACCATTAACAAGTTTCGAGGCAATATATGTGAAAACGAAGGCACCATAAACAAAATTGGAGGCACCATTTACAAAAATAGAGGCACCATTTATGAAAACGAAGGCACCATGAACAAAATTGGAGGCACCATTTACGAAAGTAACGATAGCTGAATTTTGGCGGAAATGGCATCCCATAGGTCAGCGGTCTTTGGCATGCGCATGCCAGTCTAGGGGCTGGCTGCCAATAGTGGAAGCCCCTGGATACTTCAGGCACCCAACCTCCATTTTAGCGATGCAGTTGTTAAAGAATAAAAGTGCGGGTCCTAGATAGCAAACTGCTCCATTTTGTTTAATTAACTAATAGTTTTATCATGTTAGATGCAAAACTATTGAAACCTCTATCTTGCCTGTAAACAAAAACAGTTTTACGGGCCCGTTAATTATCGGGACAATCGAGAAACGGGCCCCATGGCTTACACAGCTTTTAGGAGGGCTTATAAACGGGGGTCGCGGGGGGGTGGCTTATAGGTAGATGCGCCTATATAACGTGGGGGGGAGGGAGGGCTTATAGTCAGCAGGTTACGGTAGTTTGTTCGTTTTACAACGATCCTTGCTCCTAAATAATGGCGTTCATTTACTTTACGTGCTAAGTTGATAACAATTTTCATAATTATACAAATCTCTTTTAATTTGTTACACGACTGTCTTCATTGTCGCGATGTACTTAGCCTGCGTGGCAGTAGTTAGTTTTTCAATTTTCTAACTCACAATAAACAAAGTGCTGCTACAGTCTCTATTTTTAAATCCTGATTGAAAACATTTCTCCTTATCTGAATCACCACTTGCAAATAATACCTGTTTTTTGCTCCTTTTTTCACTCATTACGGTTTCAATTTGAGCTTCCTCACGGGAAAAATACCTTTAATTCTTTTAACTATTTTTTTTGTAATATATTGAAGAACTGTATATATTTTTTGTCTGGCAAAAAATTAAACTGAAACTGAAAAGGGAAAGGGGAATTGCGGCGCGCGGGGAGATTTTCCCGCGAGCGCGCCCCTCGTGCTCTCGAGCTTGAATCCCCCCCTCCCCTTCCCCAATTAATGCCTGCCACGCAGGCCATAATGTACTCATCAAAAAACGGTCTTCATTTGCGTGAATTTTTGCGTGCATTTTTGTGTTAAGGCGTGTTCTTCACTGGGGTGACGCATGTTTCCCTTTCAGCAATGGATTCAAAGTGAATCACAGGATAGTAACGCAACTGGAGAAAGTGACGTCGTCTCTATCAACAATATGGCCTCTGCCCGAAGACACAGTATATAGGCAGTATCTAACCCCATAGGAAGAACAGGAAGTTCGGAATTAACGGGTTGTTATTGAATGTCGATTATAGGGTTCTTTTTATTTATTGAAATTCAACTTCACAGTGAGGCCTAGACAACACAGCCTCTAAACCTCGCTATCAAATGAAACATTGAAATATCGGATCCATATTTTCGGATCATTAGACGTTTCTGGGAAACTGTCCATTTACCCCTTCCCTGAGCCAACATGAACACTTACGTCTCACTTAGGGCAAAATGTTGCCTTAGGGGAGGGGTAGGGAGGCAGTTTCCCAGAAACGTATAATGATCCTTTCGAAATATCTAAAACACGCCTGTCACATGTTGACTTTTTTACATTTTATTAAGCTTTCTAATCGACTGACCGGTACTTACAGGTACTATAAAGCGCTAAGCAATTACACCAGCAATACTTTAAAGCTATTGAGAAGCAAACATAAACTGCCATGGTAAAGGGTTCTTCTCTCACTTTTGGTGCAAATTATACTTCTCTCACGTTGCAGGTTTTCCCGCCCTCAGTACCCTTTGTTTACTTTCCGCTCTTGTCACCAACCTCGTCCCCAGGGCTTTGAGTTCCTAGCTCGAATTCTGATTGGTTTATGTCGTTTATTGTCGCCGCCCGATCAGATAAATATTTATAACTAGTTCCTGACGAGTGAGGTGGGAAAGGTGGAGAGCAAGCTTGCACTAGCGTCTTCAGGAAGTTTCATTCCTTCCTCAGTACCCCCTGTGGTGTGACTCCCTGGTGTGTGAGCTGTCACTGTATGACGAATAAAAACCGCGCGAAACGATTTTTATGTACACAATTCCCCAAGCCGAGCGAAAAGAACCGATATAGAGTTTGCTCGCTGGCTATTGTGTAACAGGCCTTAGCAAACAGTCTATAGCTTTAATTAGAGAAGGTCTTTTACTTTTAGAAAATGATCCAAATAGCGAATGGTGAGATAAGATGCAGTACTTTGAAGAAGGCAAGTCAAAAAAGTGCTTCGCGTCTCGGTATAGCCACCACTATTCACCTCCCCTTCGGGGATCATAAGTTGTATACTATTCTACATTTAAGTACTTGACAGATTTAACGTTGCAGTAATGATGGGTAGTTTTTTAATAACAAGGCCCTTTTAGGGGGCGGGGGATACCTGGTCCCTAGTTTGATTTTTAAAACACTTTGTTTCACTGACGCATTTAGGAGGAAGCTATGTGTTTGTCGGTATTTTACCATAGCACTTGTTGTAGCTAGCCAGTTTTAGTTCATCTTAATGAGTCGTTTGTCGTCGTTTCGAATAGCCTGTTCCAGGCGTTCAAATAGTAGAGCGCGGCGGTCAGATGGTGGGGACCCGGAGCGAGTTAAATTGTACACGGGAAAAACGGAAGGAAAAAACGAGGAAGATTTGTTTTTTTTCTTCGTGAATTTTTCTCCCGCGCTGTACTATCTGAACGCCTGGAACAGGCTACGTTTCAACTGTCTAACTGAATGCTGCTCTTTCAATGCCACGTTGTTTGTGGTAATTCTCTCTATCAGGGCCTCTTTAATCCTTTAAGCCCCAAGATCCACAAACAAATTCTCCAGACTGATCTCCATACATTTCTTTTAAGAATAGTTGAGGGAATTCGGTTAAGATCAAAGCGTTCTCCCTTTGGTAATCAATTTAGTAATTCTCATAACCTTTGCTCTTGATGATCTGCTGATGTTGTTAGGAGAAAATTGATGTTGGTCACTCTTGGTACCGAAAGGGTTCCGGTAGTACCGTGTGGACTTGGGGACATCAATGCCACTGAATTTCTAATAGAGTAGCAAGATTTCATCTTGAAGTGTTATCGTAAGAAATATATTTTCCGACTTGTACAGAATTTTCTTTTCCTCCCACTGCCGGTCTAGAGGGGAATGCAAAAATTTCGTTTTGTTAACTGCTTTATCACGAATCAGCTAACGGAATCAATACGAATCAATATTGGCGAAATAATCCGGCAAAGTGGAGAACAGGACCCCTAAACTAGACTTCAGTCCACCTTAAGGTGCTAAAAACTAACTGATAAGAACTGCTTTTTTCGGGAATTGTGTATGATCTATGGGAGGGGAAATCCCATGTGTGTAGCCCTTTTCAAACCCCGAAAGCTATTTAGACTTGCTTTTGTTGTTGGTTTTTCCTTTTATGCTTATGCTTCTGGCTTATTGCCAGTACGCACTATGTCAATTGCCCTCGTAACGCACGGCGTTAACGCGTAACCTTCTTAGCAAAGGTACCGGGTTCGATACCTACTGCCCTTTTTTGAACCTCTTTTTTGACGAATTTATAAGATTGCTTCTTTTTCTTTTTTGTGGTTACTGGAGTGCCAGGAAGTATATGTTCTTTCATGATGTTGCTAATGATGTTTTTATTGTGTACATATTTGAATTTTTCAATGATACCTGCTTGTGTTAAGGCAAAAATTAACTGTTATGAACAATATAGGCGTTTGAGAAAGTCCCGATCTATTGCTGTACGAAAAGTAGATTTTTTAACTGTACAAATTACGTTCGATTTTATTCCGCAAGGCGTTACCTTACATACATTTTCTTTATTTTATTCGAAGAGATAGACAGTTTTAGGTATATTTGAATTCACTTTATAGAGAGAAATTACCAAAAAATGAGCAAATCTCGTTGCAATGAGAAATTTTAAACTACAACCTGTATTACTATTTCTATGACAAAAAGTGAATTATTGTAAATAATATCATAGCATTTAGATCAGTTGGTAAAATGTACGTGTTAATTAATAAATCAGAGAAGTTTACAATTAGAACATTTTAATAATAAAAAATCGCTTCTACTTGTTTCACAGCTAGACTTTTCACAGTCCCCTATTTTTCTTCAAGATGATTGAGCCCAAGAACCAACCCTTACGGGCGGCCATATTTGTTTCAAATTTGCGTTTCTATCGTGGGAAGCAGTATCAAATCTACTTAGGGAAGACCTTAGATAACAACGACCTCAACCAGGTTGTGGCGTCCAGCAGTTTTAGTGAAAACGAGGGTTTGGGTTGGGTGCTCAGTCTCGCGGGCGCATAAAACCTGGTCTCGGTCGTTGTTGTTAAAGGATTTTGTCTACTTAGGGGCGGGGGACGTTTGGGAGGAGGCCTCGCTCCCCCCAACGTTACAAACCTCGACAACTGTTCCCTCAGAAATTTGAATCCGACATGAATGCCCATAACGGTAAGCGCTCGATCTCGACGATATTACGGAAAAATAGGGGACTGTGAACAGTCTAGGAAATCGGCCACGGTCCATCGAATAGACCTTTTTACCGATACGGCGGCCATATTTAAAGAGTATTATAGGGTGCCCAGGGGGCATGAGCACATTTTGTTTGTATTTTCGAGTGCTTTTCGGGACATTTTTTCTTAAAGTTTTCTTAGAATAAGGGGTAATGAAAAAAGCCTTGCCGTTCGTTTGTGATTTTTTTCCCGAGAAATTTGGAGACTAAACTATTTTATTACATCCAAACACGGCACAAGGATCTCTTTTTCCATTACAATCTTATTCTAAGAAAACTTTAAGAAAAAATGTCCCGAAAAGCGCTCGAAAATGCAAACGAAATGTGCTCATAATATAATATTCTTTAAATCGAACTAATTCAATATGGCCGCCGTATCGGTAAAAAGGTCTATTGTTGTGATCATTTGCCCCTCCCCCCCACCCCTGTCCCGTTGCAAATTGACTGAGAAGGTCGATAACCGTTATACATTCACCAGCGTAAGCAAGTAAAAAGCAGTGTTCTTTTTCCTTCCAAGATACATTTGTTGCGGAAAAAGTGGTAGGCAATGTAAGCCCAAACTATAAATAATTATGTTGTAAATTCCAATAAATAGAATCTGTCAGGTCCCTCGGGAAACCAGTTAGTACCAGTTGCTAACTGTTTCTCTCGAGATCTGGCATTAAGTGTATATTGTTTTCCAGGTCACTGCTGTTATATAAGTTCTGCAAATCACGTTTTCTTTGCTAGTAAATTCAGTGTAATGATTATCATATTTTTGTTACTGTTACGCTGCTCTGTTCCGATATCGTGTTCTTTCGGGCGCAATTCACATCACCCAGAGATATATATCCGACAGATCACCTGCTCCTAAGGGCCTGTGTATTTTCCTTTTAGATTTTAGATATGACACGCCCTTAGCTCTGCTATGTTTGCCGGTGATAAATGATCCCCTTTCCAGAACTAACTACCCAAGTACCTCTAGAGGATTGTACCACTCTCCCACACCTCTCCCTGCACACATACGCACACGTTTTTGTCTTTACTTGCAATTATGACTTCCGCTCTGTACCGATCTCTTTCGTAAAGAAAAATCAAGAAAAACCTCTGGGACCAGGGTATCCGCTCTGTTGTTGGTCCTAAGAATACTCGGCCATTCTTGGCCATTCAACAACAACAACAACCTTTACTATTACAAGTTTTTCGAAAAATAGAAAAAGCAATTGTTACATAAAATGATACAGTATGATAAAAGGATGACTAGGAGCTAAATTAACAAACTTTCTTGAAGAGTGGGATTACGGTCCAACAATATTCAATTTTGGGTACCCCTGTTTCCTCTCCCTTCCGGTCTCATCCCGGCTCCAAACCCATCAAAGCCAGCGCGGATCTAGGATAAATACTGACAGATTTCCTAAAGAAGCGCCGAAGGGGCACGTTTCTAGGAGGTTCCGGGGGAATGCTCTCCAGGGAAATGAGCTGAAATGCTTTTGATTTTAACTTCCTTAAGTATCCTTTCCTGGGTTTCTTAGTCGTTCAGACAGGATGTTGTCCAGTTCCATTCTCCTCAGATGAAGCCTTGCAACTTGGAAAGATTTTTCTCCATTAAAAATGTTTATTATGAAAAGTGTGACCGATTTCCGTAAAACGGTGGAAACCGGTGTGGATCCGTGCCTGAAAGCTTTTCTTGTTTCTGGTTCTTGAAGAACATATTTAGATCGTAAGACGGATATAATTACAAGAAAATTATGCGGCTACATTACTTTTATTGACTGCTCAACTGTAGTCCTCTTTTGGACTTCTTGCCAAAAGCAGTAAATCATAACTATTTGAGTTATTTCCGAAGGGATACTTCAGAGGGATTCTATTTTGAGAGGTAGCCAGATATCATTATCATCAATCAAAGTTTTTTGGAATTAATGGAGTGGCCCTAGTACTGGTGACAATATAAATGATTAAGGACCCTTCTGAATAGAAAAAATTATGAGACCTCGTCACCACTATTTAAAAAATGACACGGGTTTTTGTAGTGGTCTTGCACCTTAACTTTTCATTAGTTATCCCTCCGGTTATTCTCTGTCCCACCTAGATTAGCAGTTGCTACCTGCAGTTCAGTATAATTCTTTACTTAAGTTAAATTCTTGAAATAAAGTGTTTTTGATGTTTGTTGTTACCTAACTAGGTTCACATCGTCTCATATTGTTCACATACCGTGTAGCACGAAAATTTTGCGGGAGTTTTATTTTGCGGATTGGCGATTTTTTGTGGTTTGAGGGAACAAATTTTTGCGGTTCGAGATGACTGAAATTTCTGGTGGGAACTAATTTTTGCGATTCCCTGTTCAATTAGCAGAATATTTAAGTGGAAGAAACCTTAATATGGTATTTTCAACTTTTATTTTACGGTATGTTGAGTCAAAGTTCACTCTACTTACATATTTAATGGAGAATAATACGGTAATCACTGTAATATCTTACCTCACAAAGGGACTGAACAACAGCAAAACAAAACAAAAGCCTATCCCTACCATACAGAACAAGTCCATTAAAAGCAGAGTTTTTAATTTGACTGAAGGGAGTTAATTTTTGCGGCGTTTTATTTTGCGGTTTTTTTTTCTGCGGGAACTAATTTTTGCGGATCGAGGTCAATCCGCAAAATTCGCAAAAATTAGAACCCGCAAAATTTTCATCATGTTACACGGTATAAGCCCACCACCCCGAAGCTGCCATCTCTGATTTATAATTGAGTCAGCAAAAAGGCCATTTGTGTGTTTCAAACTCTCACTTGCAAACGAGGCTTAGTGCAAAACCTTTCTAGTGAAAATGAGTTTTATTTGAATGAACATGTACAACCATTTTCACATAAATCAATGGCTTTACCCTTAACCTCGCTTTGAAACAGAAGCTTACAACAAATTGTAAGTAGCCTTTTAGACTTTCAGGCTGTTTATGGATTCCCAGTCATCTTTCGCGCCAAAAATTTCTCAGCAAATCAAATCAGAGTAAACAGAGTAGGATTTCTAGTAGACTTGCCTACAAGTCGAGCTCAAATTTTGTTCTTACGAGCGCGAAGTACGAGCGGTAGATGTTTTATGCTTTCTGCGAACCGGAAATGAGAAGCGAAGGGCTTTGAGAAAGTCTAGATTTCTAGCAAAGTAACAACAACGGCAAATGACGAGGAGTTAAAAGTATGCCCATCATTCATCAGATTGTCGTTCAACTTCAGAGACATCAGAATCTAGTGAAAGAAAAGAGCTTTCAGTAGGGGACTGAGAAACCAAAAATAGACGGAACGTTTGTGAGGTAGCAGATGGAGGCTACGGGGTAAAGGGCTTCTATTTTATGGCTCAAGCGAATACGAAGCATATCACTATGCGTAAAAAGTATATGGTAGACATGGTAACCCATCGATGACAGAAATTTTGACAGTTTTAGTCAATGTAAAAGTAAGACTGACTGACCCTCTACCATCTCTATGTAAGGCTAAGTAAAATGTCACATTCATTTGCATTCGTCGTTTTTGGCGGGAATGGCAACCCGCGTTTTTTGGCGGGAAATTGCATGAAAAACAGCCGAAGATGACAAGGATTCAAGAAAGTGAAGAAAAACATAATTATATCAGTAGTCATATCAGCATCAGTTCGCCAAAAAACTTTATTACAACTCTCAAATCATTTACTGATTTTAGGGGGAAAGTCCGGTTAGCTCTCGACAATTCAGGTAAAGCTTAGTTAAATGTTTTGTGGGGATGCTTCTTGCCCATCGTTTTCGACTAAAACTTTTAATACTAATAGAATTGGTTTAAGTTTATGTTGAACAAAGGTTTTATTTACAAAGTACAGGTCTGTAGTGCGGTTGATTTTTTTGCTTTTCCTTCATTTTTACGGAAATTTTTCACAAACTCCATATTTTCTCATTCTAAAACTAGACAATTTCAATCTGGAATTGATAGGCTTAGTTAGTTGTGGAATTATAATTTAGGCTTAAGTTTATATTAACGTTAAAAGCCGACGTTTCGGTATCATCATGACACCATTCTCAAGGCAAAATGAATAAGTAATGCGAAGATTTGATTTCTGTAGTCTCTACAAATTAGCATAATAACAAAGGATCACAGTTCAAGTGAATACCTTTGCGCGAATCGAGTCCGCCTGCACGTTTAGGGATGGTTTGAGTTTTCTTATAAAGAGCATCTCCTTAGTATTAGGGCCTGTGTACATGGAGTGGGGGACCCCGGTCTAGTGGGGTAAGTTTCTTTTGTTTTCACGTTCTGGGGGACACAAAACAAAAGAAACTTACCCCACTAGACCGGGGTCCCCCACTCCATGTAAACAGGGTCTTAGGCAATCAAATTTGTTAGAACCTTTAGTGAGCACGTGAAATTGTTCTGAAAGAAAAGGTGGTACGTCCGAGTTATGTTCGCTAAGATAATGTTTAATCGTCGTCAATTTGGAGCTTTGCTTTTCGGCTTGGCTAAACTTAGAACTTGGGCCTCTACTTCGCAAATGAAAACGAACATTTTCTTACATTTTTCTGCAGTTCTACGGCGATAACGAAAAAGTTGATACTCACTTTCGATGTGATAACTTCAATAAGAACACTATCTCTTTTTATCAAACAATTTTCCAGTGCTTGAACATAGGAAAACCTGAAATTCCGATTGGATATTCAAATAGTTCGCATAGCACCACTCCGTTTGGGGAACTTTGCATATTCTCCGCTTCCCACTCGTTTCCCGCTCCGCGCAAAATGCCGCGTCCGCCTCGTTTGGCTTAAAACGCCCCCTTTACAATAGAATCTAATTAGAAGAGCTATTTTAAAACTTTTACACGAAGTGAGTCTGACTGCCTAGTGTTTGAAAGGTTTAGCAAATAATGAACTGATACCCAGTCTCAATGTACAATCAGACTCACTTCGTACAAAAGTTTTTCAATAGCTCTTTTAATTAGATTCTATTGTTGTTGTGTTTTTCTGCATGCTTTATTTCATTCTTTTATCATTTTCAAACATTTTTTATATTTCTTAACATATTTTGCTCCTGACACATATATATATATATATATATATATATATGCTAATTCTTTTAACTTTTTTACTTACTTGAAAATGACGGAAGATCGGTCAAAACGTCGTTTTTTATCCGTGATTTTTACCGTGTTAATTTACATTCATGGAGTCTCTAATCAAATTGTCCACTGAACCGTGTGTTTCTTTTGTCTTTTAGATTATTCATTGTGGACAATATATTAGTAACGCACTAATTGGTCGAAAGCGAAAGATAGTTCGCCGAAAGAATTCAACAGTTTGAGCGCTGTTTCGAGACTAAGCAAGGGAAATTCATAGTATTAAAGAGAAAAGGTATATTGACAGGATCGGTGATACCTTCGTCATCGTTGCGTTGCAGACAGTGTGTACGCAGTATTTGCGTGAAATGAGTTCAGTTATGATAACCGAAAATGGGGGACCTGGGGCATCAAAAGAACATCCACTTCAAGGAGGAAACCAGCTACAAAACGACCCAACAGAAACGATCGACGCGAGTGAAAGTAGAAACAGTGGAAATCCCAGCACATCTTCAGCAGAACCACATAAATCTCGCAGCGGAAAGCCATACAGTATAAAGCGTAAGTTAGATATACATAAAGTAACTTAACACTACACGCCATGAACGTAGAGTATCTTACTCTAAAATTAGCGAGTGTGTGCTCAAAACTGAAATTAGGGCCACTGAAGGATCGTTTATAAACATCTACGAACTTAAAGTTTACTACAAAATAATGTTCGGGTACAACGCTCACGAAGTATGCCGGAAATAACTGTAGCTTCAATCGTGCGCAGAAGTTAAGACCCCTCCTATCCCTGGACGGCCTTGCCGCTGCAATGATTTGTGAGCTAAAGCCGGCTAACAGTAATGTATGTATCGTTAAGACTCAAAGTGTAACTTAAACTTCCTTTCTTAATCGATTACACTAGCCCTGTACCAGAGCAAAGGGTTGTATATAGCACAGAATGTACTAGATCATCATCGAGTCCCTTTCCTATAAGAGGGGTTCATTTCCGGGTAACTGGACTTAGTTGTTTAAGTATTGTAAATTAGTTGTTATTAAAGTATTGTATTTCAGTTGTAAGTTTTCTGGCTGTCTTTTTCTTTCTTTTGATTTAATAGTATTGTGATTATTTTAGTTGCAGCCTTCTTTAATTCATGTAAATTCTTCACGTATTTTTGCTGACCTTAGGCCATTTAAGCCCCTGGCTTTGGTTTTTCCGAGTGTGTGATATGTATTAAAGTTAAAGCTTCCGTCTTGGAGTAACAGACAAACGTTTCTAGCAAATTGGTACATCAGGAAGTACAGTTACAGTCAACCCAAGTCAAGCGTACCCCCCAAGATTACATTAATGAATTTATTATTCGAAATTCAGATTCACCTTTCCTTTGGGGGAAGTCTGGGACTAGGCATTGCATTTCGTGCAGTTTGTTTTTGAAACGTGCGATGAGCAACAGCACGTCACCAGCTTTGTGTCACCAGCACGTCAGGAAAAAGCCGACAAAATTCGCGAAAACGTGAGGGGAAAATGTGTTGCATCATATCAGATCATATGCGACACATTTTTTGCGAGGTAACACAACGACGTGATGATGAGCACTCTCGAACATGTCGAAGGTTAATACAGTTTAATATTAGCTGCTCAAAAACACACTTTCTATCTGACTCTCAAATTCAAGGAGTCTTTTTCCTCTTTTGTCTTTGCTTTTTCAGGCCGAGCGCTACTCGTTAAAGGAGAAATGGAAGGGCCCGGCTATTACTATCAGGTAAAATAAGCTAAAATATATTGTACCGTACTATTGTCTGATTGAAAGGCTACTACGTGACTCCGGCTGCTTCTGCTCGAGCAGCCAAAGTCTTAGAGTTTTGATCTTGACTTGCTGTGGTTGGTACTTTAGTTCTGGGTCTATTTTGGCGTTATATGCTGCAATTTCACCGACTGTATTATTTTTGGAGCCAAACTTAAGAATACTTGGCCACTTCAGCGTATTTTCTTCTCGAATTATAAATTATGTTATAGCAATCAGTTTTGCTCATACAGTGTAGAATGTTTTGTATTATAAGAAAGTAAATGGCTTTGTTAACTCTCCCCGTATTACCTTTTCATCAAATCTCCCGGGAATTACCTACCAAAGCCTTTTTCAAAATGTTTTCATTAAGTTCGTTATTTTCGAGATGAAAATAAAACAAGAAGTGGATTTAGTGTTCTTCTTAACTGGGCTGTCTGTGGTCAGCCCAGTTTAAAAAATACCGGTACGTTCCATTTTCTTTCGGCGTGGTATTTCTGGGAAGTCGTAGTGGGGGTGCACCGTCCGGCTCTCTGTAAGTCCCTAGTCTGAATTCGAAAAGTGGTTGTTTCACGTATTGAAGGGAAGGCCATGTGGCTGTTGGTATTTTGCTATGGTTATCGAGATTTTCCTTGTCACTGTCGCAGTTTCAATCCATCTTCAAGTACTTTGTCGCCATTTCATAAACAATTATTGGATGAGGCTTTTGTGATATCCAGAATAATCAAGGACGAGGTAAGCATTATCAGCCGAGCGGAAGGCCGAGGCTGATAACATTTACCGAGACCTTGATTATTTAGGATGTCACAAAAACCAAATCTAATAATTGTTTTATTATACATTGTTTTGAAGAAAAATGACGACAAAGACACCGTCATAAGGAACCTGAATTGATATTGATATTGGAAATCATGCATTAAGCACACGCAACCTACTGATAAGTCAGTTATCTGCTAGCAGATAACTAACTTATCTGTAGGTTGCACTGATTTCCAAAATTAGCTAGTGAGTACAATGTATAATAATCTGTCTTATTGTCAGACCCATGGCTGGGCAAGCAGTTTCATACAACAACCCCATAGTGGTGTAAAGGTGATGTTCCATGAGACGATTCTCAATGATGATTTTTAGCACAACACAGCATTGCAACATTGTTGTGACATTGTTTCTAATAGTTACAACATTGCAACGATGTGTTGTCAGAGCTAAAAATCGTCGTTGAGAATTATCCCATGTAACATATCACCTAATAAAGGCTGTGACTTTCAATGTTATGTTATGTTTTGTCAACACTTGACCACTCAAAAAGGGTTTTATATATTTATACAAAAATGTTTTTGAACAGACAACTTGACCAGCACCTGCCCTTTAATTATTTCAAACTTAGCTCTTGCAAGTCAGCTCCTCTGTATGCGACCAATCAATATCAGCATTATCAGTGTGTGGTCACGTACTGAGGGGGGAGGTACAGATCAATAGGGAAGAAGGAGAAATGGCCTGAAAAAGTAGGGAGGAGGGAGAACGTGAAATGTTGTGGGAGCAGGGAGATATCGATGAGCAGGTAACTTTAGGGGTTTTTTTTCAACCTGCATGATGACAAGGGATGGGGGGATGTGGAATTTGACGTACACTGTGATCCCCTTAGGTCTCCTTTGACTCCCTTGGTTGGACTTAACTGAGAAAGCATGGAATCAAACTTGACACATCTCAGGTTACCAGGTTTAAAAATTGGCGACGGGCAACACACGTACGACTCATGCACTTGGTTGTAATCTGACCTATATTTCCCTTGCGATATGATATGAGGAGAGGCTCCTTAAAGATTTCTGTTAGCCATTGTTGGTTTTGTATAAGTGCAATTTTCCCATTAGTATTTTCATTAGGCTAGGTTAAGCTGGGTAGTATTGTGTAACAAAACGTAGTAGTTTTTTTACGGGCGGATTTGTTTCTCTGTTGAGGGGCTCAGTTTTCCTGTCGGCAAATTTTACCTCAGAGAGGTACTAATCTCACAATAGCAGCAAGGTAGCCTCTTTCTATCAGGCAATTTTCGAATTTTTTTTTTTCTCAAAAGTGGTTTGAGAGGGAGAACTTCTCCTTTAATGAAGCCTTCCTTCACATCTGGTGGGTGACACAACTAGATGTTCATGTACTTAAAAGTTTCTATAATTTGGTTTGTAATGTGTTTGCAAAACCAACAGCTATCTTTGTTCCCATGGCTGTTAGATGGGTCTGTAGGTAGTTGCTACTGTGAAATTGAAACAAGTTTTCTGTTAATATAAGTATTTAAGTTAATATATGATTTGTGGGCACCATCACAAAAGTCAGAGTGTTCTGAGTAGCCAAAAAAAATCCCTACTTAACTCAAGCCACCCCAAAAAATACTTGCCATATTTTACTACCCCAAAAAATCCCGGAATCAAAAATTTCAAACCCCAAAAAATCCTTTGATCATCCTTGTCACTTGAAATCTGAATTCCCCCACCCCTCCTCCCACCCCCCCACCTTTACCAGGTTTTTGGTCTCAAAATGGTATGGACTTTGCAGACTTTGCCTATCAGGTATGGTTTTCGAGGGAACTATGGAAGTGTGTGAACGTATTTATCATTTCAGTTCCAAATGACTAAGAAAGAAAGAAAAATATGCAAATTCGAAATGGATTTTAACAAATCTTTTTTGTTGCAGTTCCAATCTAAGTAAAGATTACGTTATTTCTTACAGGGCAGGTCTGAAAAAGGGTGTGAATAACCATATTTTTTGGTCTGAAAGAGGTCAGAATTTGGAGAACCGGGTGGCACACCCCCACCAAGAATTAACCCAGCATAACCCCCCAGGGCTTTTTCCCCATAAAAAATCTTCATATGCGTGACATACAGTGGTTATGCAATCTTTGTGCCGTATGTTGGTGTAAATGCGAAGCTATGAACTATGAAGGTCCGAAAACTTCCTTTACGACGAAGTACAGGAGTCGTGTGTTGCCCGCTGCCAATTTTTAAACCAAGTTTAGGTAGGAAGGAGAGATTGCCCCAAAAAGTAGCCTGGAGGAGGGAGATTTACCCTTCCGTACCTCCCCCCTCCTTACTGGAGAAGGGTGCAAGTAGTGTTCTCCTTAGCTATTTTAGCAAATTAGGCTAGGCCGGCTGCCTGGCTTAGTTCACGGGAAAATCGGTGACGCCTGGCTTGAAAATCAAAGATTTAACCCAACACAAGCTTATGATGACATCTAGAACCAGGTATTTCAAAGAAGAAATCACTCAATAATGTTGATGAAACATTGTCTGGTGTTTTTTGGGTGTTTTTGCACAACTAATTTATTGTAAAATTGATTTACTGTTGGATGAACATGTTCAAATCTGTCGTTTTGCTGAAAGGCATTCATCTTGAAACTGTCCCAGAAACACAAGGGCCCATCAAGGAGCTCACATGTAGCCCATGCTCCCTTTTTGAGGAGTGTCAAAATGGAGAACCCAGTCAACCCAAGATGCAAGGAACAATGTAATATAATGCTTGTCAAAGAGTCTTTTAAGAACTGATTGTATGTCACTGTCTCTATTACTATTCAGGCTTTATACAAACACTGTTAAAAATCACAATCAGAATACCCCTGGCCTTCCCAAAATCCTAGGGAAAACACTGGGAAGGGACAAGATGTAACTATGGCATGCTAGTGCTTCAAAAAATTTCACTGGTGTGATTAATTTTATTGAAACTCATGTATCAAAATATGTAATAATACCCCCCTAAAATTATTTTCTCTGCTTATTGAAGAAGAGAAAGGTACTAGCCCTGTATTAACTAGCCCCTGGCTATCAGATATGGCTTTCTTTAATTTGTACCCAAGAAAGTTCTACTGGTGTGCATGAGTGTTTGATTGCATTAATTTTTTTTCCAGGATGCTGCTATATTCCTGCAAGAGGGACAGAATAATGACCGATTTGACACCCACCCCTCTCATGCAACAATGCGATGGTACCTCCTAACTCACTCTACATATTTCTACTTTCTGGATATGATGGCTTCTTTGCTTCTTCTTTGTCTGGCACTTGCTGAAAGACCTGGCAATGGAGGTGCTCCAGCAAATGAAATATTGTTTTTGCCAGTACCTGTAAGTAGTTAATGCCACCATCTGGTTTATGGCTCAAATGGGTGGCTCTTAGACTGTGCACTGTTAGGTCCAAGTTCAATTCCTCGCTCTCAAATAAAGGTTGTTGTTGTTGGCTGGATCACCACTCCGGGCCTTGAAATTACTGAGGAGGAACTGCCTTTGCTCTTTCATCTGGCAGTGGCTAGCAAGCATTTGTAAAAGAACCACTCACAATATAACAGATCTCTGGCAGTGATCCCCACCCCACCCCCCCCCCCCACTCTAGTGTCTGTCTGAAAGCATATTCACAGACTATGCTGCAAGCAGTCAAGAAACTCCTCCACCCAGTGTGGTACATTACCCTGAGAAGCCCATTTGTATTTTGTATTTATGTTTGTTGCTGTTTGACCATCATCAAATTTTTCGCTATACAGTCAACTTTCTTTAAGATGGACACCTTTGGTGCCCACTCTAAGTGGCTGTCTAAGAGTGGTGTCTGTCTTATAGAGAGTTAAAAAGGGGAGTATAGGAAAAGAGGGACCAATTCTAGATGTCCATTTTACTGAGGTGTCTGTCTCATAGAGGTGTCCATCTAGAGAGTCAAGCAGCAAGTCAGGATTTGATGTAATCTCGTGCATACAACCTAGCTTTTATGATCAATTTTCAGGTCCATGGAGCTCTTGAAGTTTTGTCACTATCAGTCATTGCTTGTGGATGTGGTGTGAAACTTAAGTGGCAAGGAGCAAAGTTCTACTTTACTCACAAGAGGACACTTTTCAAGGTGAGAGGCTTCACACCAACTAGAGCACATATCAACTGCTAACAGTTGGTACTTACAGTTTTGCCTCGATGCTACCATTTTGTGACTTTCCACACCTTTTTGTCAGTTGTCTTTACAAACTTGATGAAGTTGTGGTATATTAAATATACCACAACTTCATCATAAAATTTTTATGAAAAACTGCTGTTTTTTTACTTATGAAAATGCAGCATCACCCATTATTCCAAGTTAAATTAACGAACTAAATATCAATAGATTCCATTTATTTGTAAACCTTCAAAATATGTTTTTTGTACTCCGCACTGAGGCAGGTGAAATGTAATTCATCAGCTTTAAAATTAGGTAGATGTACTGTTTGTGCGATTGACTTAGGGCATGTTATTTATGTATATATACCTTATTATAGGAAATTAACGCTCCATGAAATTAAGGTATTGGAAATTAACACGAATTTGATGGCAAATGACTTTCGAATATGGAAAATTAACACAAAAGAGGAGGTAGAGTTTCATAATAAAGGAAATTAATGCGATTAAGAGACAGTTGGTGATGACAACTGGAACAAATTTATTTCAACAATTTAATAGGTGCATAAAAATTCAAAACTGAACAAAACTGAGCTGACATCACTTCTGACAGCGACAACAATGAAGATGAACTCGAAATATTCTAAACCTTCGCCTTAGCTTTTGTGAAAGATGAAATGGAAAGAAAGAAAGCTTGTAGTTAATGTTTTTTATGTGTCAAGAATGTCTGGACAGGTTCTAAAATGAGGGTTAAAGTGCTGGAAATTAAGAACGCTGCACTTAATTAACATTGCAGAAATTAACGCTTAACAAAATTAACGCCACTTAAATTAATGCAAATTTTAACTATTCGCGTTAATTTCATGGAGCGTTAATTTCCTATAATAAGGTATATATATATAAATATTTTGGTTTTTTAGGAGCTATAATGAAAGTTGAACCCTTCATAATTTATTGTTTTAAAGAAAAAAAACATAATTATACTATGAGCTTGATTGCCATGATAAGAAAAGCTGAAGGTGTCACATCACAACACTTAATTTTTTTTTTGTCCCACTACAGATTGTTATTTTAGTTGTGATGTACACAGAAGCAATCGTCGTTCTTATAAGAATGGAGAATCACTTCCGAGTTACGCGAGCTCTGCGACCTCTGTTTTTGATAGACACTCATTACTGTTATGGAGTGAGAAGGTGAGCATTATTGGGCATGCTTTGCATTTTTGGAAGTATTAGTTATTATTTCAGAATTTAACAACTGCATAGCTAGATAGAGGTTGGGTGCCTGTAGTAACTCCACTTTTGGTAGCCAGCCCCCAGACTGAATAATGCCCTAGTCCAGTAGGGTGAGGGTTGCAACAGGTGTATTCACTACCCCCCCCCCCCTCCCCTCACAGGCCCCAGATGTCCACCTCTTAGTTTATCAACAACTATTTAAAACAAAGTGATATCGTTTATTTATATTTTTAGCAGCAAAAACTAGCAAATACAGATTTGCAACTTAAATAGTGACATTGACATCTGGCATTCTCAAAAATTGTGAAAGAAAGTAGTCTTTTTTCAAAAGAAAAAGCTAAAGAAATCAATTTGAAGTTCAAAAAAATTGAGAAATATCCGTGTTCTTAATGCATGCAGTCTCTGACAACCAAATTTTACCCCTAGAGAGTTGCGCCTCCGGCCTCATTTGGTCCGTTTCCTTGTTGAATCGCACCCACCCATATCCTGGCTATGGCCCTGTGCCCCTATGGCTAGTACAACCACCTAACCCAGCCATGAGCACCTGTGAAAGGAGAAACAAGCACCTGTCACAGTGAAATGAGTATCATTGGAAGAAAACAACAACAACAAGGAGGGGATGGGGGGAACTGGCTAAAAGAAACCTTCCGGCACAAAATGCTGCATAAAGGAAGCTCCTTATACCACTGAATCACAAAAATGATGTTGCAAACTATTAGCTGTTGGCAAATAGACCAATCATAGAGCACTAGCACTGTAGGTGCTCTTTGTTGTTCAGTTAACTACTTTAAATTGCATTTAAATGCATTCTATCATTATATTATTGATTTGTAATACTGCATTTTGTTCTCCCTGTTTTCCCTAGGCAAAGTTTTTTTTACATTACTTCTGTTTTCTCTACAGGAATTCCAAAGAAATCTTTTAGTTTATTCTCTGCTCAGTTTCTTGTCTTTAGTTTTCAAAGGCTGTCTGAATATGATTATTTTTTCTGTGCCCCACAGATCCCTTCGACAAATTCTACTCTCACTTCCACCCATTTTGGATATGCTGTTCCTTTTATTGTTCGTCATACTGATATTTGCAATGCTGGGTAAGCTGATGATTATGAGAGTGATTGTTTTATTGTTCATTCAAAATATTTCCAAGCTTATAGTATTATAGTCTGTCTATGATGTTCCCATGTTGAAATAAAATGTGCCTTTTCCCCAGCAGGGAGGATAAGACTTTTTCTTTGAAAAATTGTTTCTCATCTTTCCAGTGTGTTCTCATCTTTTTGTGTATTCGGGGACTGCGACTTTTTTTCAAAAAGAATGATTTTCCTTAATTACCAGTTAAAGAATGCCAAGCCACTTTTTAGGCAAACCCCCACGTCCCATGATTGTCTTGTGCATTCATGTTATCTGATGACCAGCAAAAAGTAGGCTTCAAAATTTTAACTATAACTTGTAAGACGTCCATAAGTTAAACGTAAATCCAAACTTGTGTTTTGTAAAGGAAAGTCAACAGCAGCTATGTTTTAGCATAACTTTTCTTTCTGTAATTAAATGGCAGGCAACGTCAGAGGAAACTTGTCCATGTACTCTATAAAAAACCAACAACAACAACAAAAAGTTATCTCCTCTATCTATAGCTGGGCATTTTAGGTCACTTAAATTGCATTATTTTGAAATAACTGTCTTTTACCCAAGTTTGAAGTAAATATTTTATTTTCTACATCTTTATGGAGCATAGGGACAAAAAAGCCCTTTCATAATACTGTTTACTAAGATCGTGAGGCATATTTTTTCTTGCTTATAGAAACTGTTAACTTTCTTCACAGGATTTTATTTGTTTTCTGACAATGACGAAGATGAGGTTTGCATTTGCTTCTTATTATCTCTCTCATATTAATTAGGAGTTACTAGCAATTAAGTTATTAAAAATGATACCAACATATCATGTCAGTCTTATTATAACACAAGTTATACCCTGGGATTGATAAGGCGTAATCTCTGGAATTGCTTAAGGTGAAAGAAACTGGATTGTGAAAATTAGTTCGAAGAAGACAATGAATATAACAGATTAAGAGCTTTAAATGCATATAGTTCCTTACCAGCTGTTTAGCTCCAATAAACCAATTTAAAGTAGGGTTGCATATCTTGTTGTACTACTCAACTTGTTTTAGAGTGAGTTTAAGGTGACATTAGTCATTACAGAAACTAATTAGAGATTTGAAAATGCTTGCACAGTCAGTTACAGTATGGGTTGTACAGGTGCTCTTACTTTTCTTGTCATTGGTGCTAATATTCTCTAATGTTAGGCGTAACCCCACATGAACTAACTTGCATCCCATCCAAGGGTAATGTTAGTATTCCTGTTCTTTATGCTATTAAATCAATGGAACTGGCATGTGCTCTGTTGTCTTGGGTATTTTCTGGCTCATACTTGAATTTACTGTGAATTTCATAAGTTAATGTGATGGTTCTTAACAAAGATTCCACTATAAATGTGTAACCTGTAACTTACTATTAGTGCACAATGCAGTCTTTGTTAACAAATACTTTTGTAAAATTAGTTTTTCAGCGGTTTTTTGAGAAGTTTCATCAGCTTATTTGTGTTGCTGACAACAGCTAAGTATGTTCATACTCTGATAATAATTAGCTGAAAAGTAATTGATTATTAACAGAAGCACCTCTTTTTAAAGGTCAAATTTGACTTCAGGCTAAAATATTTATAACCTGTGTTAATTCTCAGTTTTCATTGTCTCCTAGAATATATTTGAGAATCAACCTACCTTGTAGATTTACAAATGTAATCAACCTGCAGATAGATTTCAGAATTCCACAAATTAGTAGATGCCCTTAAAATTAAGTCCTCCACTGTTATCAGTTACTCCCATATTTTATATTTTTGTTGTTTATTATATAAATAGACATCATAAATTCCCAAAAAATACTTCATGTAAATATTTCCTTTGCACTTATAGCTATCCAGATGTGATGATGCCTGCTTACAATCGATCACGCTGGTCTGTCATCTACTTTGCGGTCTACATTTCAGTAACTCTTTACTTTCTTATGAATTTGGTAAGAAAAAACTCTATTAGCTTCTTATCATTAACTGTCAGAAACGAAGGTCATATTTTTTTGTGGCAACACTTGAGGTTTTTTGTTTATTTTTACTTGACTGTGCGGTCTCCAAAGCTCAGAAAGCTGCATGTACATGTAATTCCATTTTTTTCTCAACCCGAAGAGCGCTTTTTATGCAAAATACTATGTAATTTCATGACAATTATATAATAATAATAAAGCACATTCCTCATGCATTGCAGAAAACTGTTTTCAACTGTTTAATTTTTTGTAAAATCATCAGTATATTTGAATAAGTTGTCACTCCTTTAATAGCATTTCATCCATAGATTTCAAAGGAGGGAAACTCAGACCTCTGACATGAAAAGAATCAGATCTACTCAAAAACTTAGACTTGCAAGACTTATTAAATAAAACAAACCTTTGAACTTTTGCAAGAAACAATTATGTGGCCTCGTAACATACCATTTTGGGTTTCAATGACAGTAATTTCTTCCTTTTAATATCAGCTTCTGGCAGTTGTTTATGACACCTTTACCAACATTGAAAAGGCTAAGTTTAGAAAGCTGTTCCTTCACAAGAGGTAAAAATAACATTCCAGGTATATGGACTTAATTATGTTTAAAGTTACTGTTAAAGAGTTGTTTTTTGTATAGGGTATAATATTGCTGTGTTTTCTTGAATAAGCTCCAGGAGTCCAGGTGCCTCTTCTTTGAGAAAAGGGGTATGGGGGCACTTATTTGAAGAAAAGTGCTCAAATTTAAGGGGTGTTTATATTGTGGCCCAAATTTTATTTCCAGTTTGTTGAGGTGCTATTTAAACTAAGAAAAGTAGGCAAAATTTAGTTGTTATAGTCTTTCTAAATGTGTTAAGTTAGATGTTTGCTTTTAAATGTGACAATTTATAGATCCTAACATTAAAATACCTTTTCTTCTTCAAGGCATGCTGTTAGACAAGCCTATAAGCTGCTCTGCTGTAAGAATGTAAGCTTCACATTTAATGAAAATGAAAATAATCTTATAGTGTGGACATAGTATATTAGAAGCAGCAAGTATTTAATAAAGACCAGCTGGCTGAAAAAAACAAATCACTCACTTCACTGGAAACGACATTCTTTTTGTAATCAAAAGTACAAAGTTCGCAGTGTTCTTTAATTCTGATGCTTCTTTCAAAAGTCAGCCCCTTGGACATTTTAATGGGCTTTTTATTTAATACAATCAAAATCCTTGTTTTGTCAGCAAGTTACATGGCAATAATGATACTTAATGTTAATAATACTTTAAATATCCTCTCCCCTAGTTATGGAGCTTTTCAGGGATAATGAAACAAATAATTTAAATGACACATAATATCATTAAACAGTCCGCAACAGTAGGAGGCGAACCAGTTGGCTGTTTACAAACATGGCCGAGGATTTGAACTCAGGACTACTGTAATGGTTATCTTTCATTATTATAAGAATTCCTAGGAATTCACATTATATTTTATTCTTTACTGGGAATTCCTAGGAATTCTTTCTAAATTCCTAGAAATTCCCGAAATTCCAAATGGAAATGAAACTAGACTTGAATTCCTAGGAATTCCTAGAATTCAACCTACAAGAATTTAAATCACAAAAATTCTTAGAAATTCCCAGAAATTCCTAGTAATTCCTAGGAATTCTTAGGAATTCCTAGGAATTCTAGGAGTTTACAGGTTTCAAGGTCCAATGCCAGGATAGTAAAGTATACTCAAATTTAATGATTAATTACCAACTGGAGAAAGCATGGAAATTGCATTTAAACAAGTTTATGATAATAATGTTCAAAATCACATCTTATGGTACACGTTGTTTTTTAAAAAATTGAATAAAGCAATTAAAGTCCTGAGATATAAATTGTTCTTGAGTCATTATTGAAAAATTGTGGGACACATTTGTAACTGGAATAATACAGCAAAAGAGTCTTGACTGAATTAATTTTACAGCGGGAACATATATGTAAAAAAAGAAAAAGTCAGGCCAACTTGATTCCAGCAAGCTTATCTGCTAAGCCCTTATTAAGCCGCTCTTTTAATTCAGGACTCAAACTGAGAACAAAATAATGAACTGGAAACTAAAATACTCGTAGTACATGGCGTTTAAACATACTTGTTCATGACTACAGTAGAAGCCCGGCGGTGAACTCGAACTCTAAAGGGAAACGAAAAATAGTTCGATTTTAAGTGGGGAATTCGAGTTATCGGGGTAAATTTCAGTGAAATCTTGATCAAGAGAAAGCAAATTTAGTTCGACTTAGCGGAGAATTCGAGTTATCCGAGTTCGAGTTATCGAGGTTCTACTGTATTAAATCCGCCAGAATCTGATCGAGTATTAGCTTATTCACGTAGAATTCCATCAACCTTTTGCAACAACGACTACAGTTATGTCTCCAGTAAACAAAAAGGAACCAATAAATGGTTTTCCATGCCATCTTGAAGTTTCGTGTTCATATATCGGAACGATCTATAATTTCACTTTGATCTCCAGCTTCATTATTTGAGTATGTGGTTACCATCAGAAGACACATTACGAAGCAGGAACGTACCTTTACCTTTCACAATCCAGCTGACTTATCGTTCTCGGACATGACTAGAAGCACGTTTCATGTGTCAACAACAAAATAAATGAACAATCCGCGTTTAAAATAACATCAATTTCGGATGCAAAATACTTGTGCTCTTGCTAATGAAAGTCCGCGTGAATTTGAACTCACCAAACGGAACTTCATTTCACACTTTTCCATTGGTTCAAAAGGCGCACGTGATGACGCAGTTCACTTAGTGGGGAGACTGGTAACCAGTATAGCTCAAACATGGCGGATGATTTTGCTCGATGATGAGCAAGTTGAAAAAAGCGGTCGTTTTCAGAGCTAAATAAAATATTCCAACGCTTTTGAGGTATAAGCAGCGAGAGGAAAACTTCGTATTGTTTTTTCAAGAAGCGATGACCTTTTATTAGGCAAAGCCGCGATGAAAAACGTGTTGTGGGCGTTTGGAAAGCTCAGGTACGAGAAGTGGCTCTTTGAATAAGCTTTCAGTATCGTGCTTATTGTTGATAATTTTTTTTAAAGATTTAAGTCGCAATAAATGTTGTATATAGATGCTGGTTAATGTCAAGAAACCCTTGTTGTTATAGGCAATTAAAGAAATGATTATAAAAATTTTTTACGCTTTTTATTACCTTTGAACACTTATACGGTTTCACCCAAAAATTAAGCCAGTGTTTCCAAGTTAACAATGACTTGGAATTATTGAGAATTCCTAGGAATTCCCACAAATTCTCATTGGTGTTTTAGCAATTCCCAATAATTCCCATAAGTTCCAAAGACAGTTTCCTTCAAACTTGGAATTATTGGGAATTCCTAGGAATTCCCAAAAATTCCCACTGGTGTTTTAACCCATTCCCAAGTTAATTCCCAAATATTCCAAGGTTTTTTATCTTTGCTCATTTGCATGTCTTGGAATAACTTGACATTCAATTAAAACACCTTTTCATTTCTTAAATAATCCAATCCATATTTCAGGGCTGGGACTCGAATCAAATTACAAGTCCAGCACTCTAACCACTTGGCCATGCTACCTCCATATGTTTCAACATATTTTTGCTAAGAGTTAGTTTCATATTTTGCTATAGCCTCCTTACAGGATCCCTTTACAACATTTTGTTGGCTTGATGTCATTCTACAAACCAAGGAGCAGTAAGTTTCCTTTCTTTACTTTGTTGTTGCACTTTTTTAACTTATGTTGTCTGGTTTCTTACATTTTTTACCTTATGCCCAATTGGTGACCAGCTAGTTTCTAGTTTCTTACTGTATCACTGCCCAAACATAAGCACAACCAGATAGTTTTTTGCAGTTTTTCATGGCTCTTGGCTGGTCACACATTAACACAGTTTATCACCGTATTTCTGTAACGCATTAGTGAGCTGGGAAAAAATACATACACATGAAAGCAAAACAAAGTTAGTATTTTCTTAATATTATCAATTAAGTGGTATCGCATCTGGCACAAAGCCGTTCATTATGCGGTCAGTGGAAAATGCAGACTGCTGACTTCACCATGCCAATGAGGTGACAACCGTAGTTCCATTGTTTTCTAACCTTAAAAACAATAGTCTGCTGTCATCCGCAGTCTGCATTTTACGCTGCCATGCCCTGTTCTTTATTTACTATTCTGAATTGAACTCTAAATGTTGGTTTATGAGATGGTAAATGAGAATACATAGAGAAAAACCTCTCGTTGCAAGGAATATGAAGGTTGAAGTAATGAAAACTCAAGTCACTTAAAGTTTTTCCCAGGATTCAAACCTCAGAGGCCACACTTGGGTAGTAATGTTACAGGTCAAAATTAAATTCAGGTTAAAATTTTTCGACCTTAGTTGATTTGCAATATTATTTCCTTTGTCTCCTAGCCCTAATTCATGAATAATCAGGGCTAGGAAACAGAGGAAATTGAGAAGCAATCTACTGGTAGGTTAAAAGAAATTCAACCTGAATTTAATTTTTTTACCTGTAACAGTAACCTTTGATCAGATGGACGAGGGTTTCTTTCCTTTTTCCCATTAATATGCCCTCTCCCCTTGAAAAAAGGAACTTGTGATCACTGGTTACACTCACTGGTGGGACATCAACTGCTCATCCCACTACACTGCTCTTTTCCCTTCTCTAGACATAGAATATTAATAAACTATTGTATTAATTTCTTCCACAGCACCTGTGGAGAAATATCTTGTATTCAAGTCACTGAACACAAGCCATACAAAACATTTAAGGTATGAACAAGTAATTTTGTTTTACTAATATTACTATACTATTCCAGTTTTCCATCATTATATCCAGCCCTCTGTCAATCTCAAATGTGTCTTTCTTGTCGGTAAATCTTTACTGTTTTATTCTCGCTTTTGTTGCCAGTTTGGAGGAGTTTTATCATGTCTTTGAAAACAGTGAGATGAAGTGGAAAAGAGTATGTATGCCAAGTTGTTATAATCCTTCCGTTCCCAGAAAAAGCCAAAGTAAAAAGATTTCCTTTTTGTAAAATGCTGACATAGAAATTAATAGTACCATGCAGAAAAAAAAAGTTTTCTACAGACTCAAATGTTTCCTATTTCATTCAGTCTAAGAGTGAAAGGGTTACACAATTATTTATTGTGAATATAACTTTTCAGTATGTATTTATAATTATTTAATTGGACTGTGCAGAGCTCTTGTTTAAGGGTGTCATGAAATGTTTTTTATGTGCATTCCCTAACACCCCCCCCCCCTCCCCCCCAAAAAAAATTGGAAAAAAAGGCTGTTTCTGAACTAGATAGAAGCAAAATCACTTAGCTATAAGTTGGTAGATTGCAAGCAAAGTTGGATATTTTTATTGCATTTCGTCCATTGGTGGTTGTATGTTGTTGTGAAAGTTCTTGGGGCAAATGGGTGAAGATGGAGCCTGGACTTCAGATATTATGTATTGGGTCTGAGGTGTGTGAAATACCAAATTTAATTATACTAGAAACATATATTTCCAAAACTCAGAGCAAAAAGGGTTTAAAACTACTTACACTCGAACTTCATTAGCAAAGGTAAAATGGGTTTTGGTTATGCCGTAACGGAAAAATTTGGTACATATTCCCAGAGACGACTGTAAATGACCAGGAGGTCCAGTCCGTTGTCCGTATTCAGAAAGGGTTTTCTTTGTTTGAGGCGATGGTCTTGAATGAAAACATTCGATTTGTTTTAAACATTTTTTGTTATGAGTCTTGGAAATAGTTGTTTCCAGTAAGTCTTTGCCAGAGCCGAGGAACAACAGTAAGATATAGTTGTGGTTTACAGTATGGTTTCTTTTCTTTTCAGATCACAAAGGACTACAATCAATGGTTTCATTGCCTTAAACGATGGAAGTGTCTGTATAATACTGTCAAAGGTCAGTGCCACCAGGTGAACCAGGTAAAATGTTGTTCTGAGCATCTCAGCCTCCCCTCCCTGGTCACACACTCTCTGCAGTCCCTGACAAGTTCTCCATGTTAACTGTGTGGTTAGAAAAGAAAAGGCCCTTTTAAGTCATTTAGCCCATTTTTTTTAACAGGTATCCGATGGATAATCACAAGAAAACCATTTGAGTACTTCATTTGTAAGTTAAATTTGTGCAGAAATTCTGTCAACCCTCTAAACCCCAAAATTCAGAGTCTCATTTGTTGCTCCTATAATTGAGTCTGCTATAGAGTAGGTAATATAATATATTGAGTACTAGGAGGATGTTTTACTCTCTTACTCTTTTTTAAGTTCATTCACATTCGGAATTTGTAAATTGTTTCTGAAAAGCCTGTTGAGGATCGATGTTACTATTAAAGTTTTATTATTAAAAAAATACTAATGATTTTACAATAAATATACACTGCTGTTGAAAACAGTTTTCTGCAATTATGCATGGGGGATGTGCTTTATTATTATTATCATTATCATTATCATTATCGTTATCATTATTATTATTATTATTAAAGTAGTGGGAGGAATTCGTGAAGTATTCTTAGATGTATCTTTAGTGATCATGTCCTTATTCCCATTAATCAACAATGTGTTGTGTTAAGCATTCATATATTTACAAGGAAAAATTTGATGACAATAACTCATAGGGCTTAAAGGTTTAAAGGATCTTCACTTATTCCATAACGGAGAATAATATTATTATTTTTGTTGATGTGTGTTAAGTTGGCTTTGCTTTGCCCTTTTGTCGTTTTTGGTGCAATCAAACCACAATTGCAGCTACGACTGGTTTATTGGATTGCGAGCCATGCTGTTAAAGTTGGTCAGCTTTGGATCGGGGGTGCATCCTCTAGCTGATTACATCTCTATACACAGACTACCAGCACTATTAAAGCATTTATAGCATCTTATGGCAATGGCTGCAAAATTTAAGTACTTCCCTTTCTAACATGAACTTTATTTATCCTGGAATTTCAGAGTAGCCTGAAAAGCTAATATCTTTTATGATTTCTTTTGCAGATTTTGTGATCATTGCAAATGGAGTATCATTTATTGTTGATATTATTGTGTTTTCTCGTAAGTATAGTGATCATGAGCTTTTAGAAAAACAATGATGATTTTGCAACCCAAGTATGACTTTCCTTGGGGCCGAATAAGGGGAGAGGAAATTAATGCTTCCTCCCCTAATTTCTACTAGAAAAGCTTAATTCTCAAGCAGTCTAGTGTGGCTTTTTCATGTGTAGCTACCAATGCCCCCCCCCCTGCTTTTAAGAAAAAGTTGTCACAGTCTGCTTATTCCAGGGTTTATTAATATTAAAGTTGTTTCAGTAAAAGTATACATTTTCACACCCAGGCGAGATCATTGTAAATGTATATCCATTGCTCTTACTTTTCTGAGGCTAAACATAACAAGCAGTTATTAATGTAAAGTGGTAAAAAAACCTTGTAGCGTAGTTGTGCTAGCGTCTGCTATATATTTTGATGTTTGAGGTGCTGGGCTTCACCTAGAATCAGATGGAGCTAAAAACATGTTTTGCCCAACAGATGTAAGCTTGACCAGAGATATATAAGTCTTGCTGACAGGAATTTCAAAATTTACAGGCACTCCACTGAATGAAAGAGCCAACCAAAGAGAAGAAATCAAATGGTATCATGTTGTCTTCATTTCTAGTGAGTTGTTTATTGGTTATGTTGTTTGGTTACATTTCTTGTATTTCAATTCTGAAAATGAAAAAAAGAGAGTTTTTCAGGCTTTAGAAATAGCTACAGAAACCCAGCACTCGACTCTAAGTGAAGTTTATAAAAGGTATGCAGTGAACAGGTTAAAGACACAGTGTAGACCAGCTCTGGAAACCAATGAGTTTCACCTCAGCAGTGGTTCCTCATGAGAAGGAAGGCGCATCCAATATCCTGTTCTTCACTTAACCAATGGGCAAGTAAAATTTTTGGGGAATTCAGATTACAGAAGAACTGTAATCAAGCCCACTCATCATCAAAAATGTTTTTTGGTCAAGTTAAAATGACTCTTGGGCTAGTATATGCTACAACCAGTTGCAAAAGTACTTGAGACAGGATGGTATTAACATACCAGAAGCTGATCCTACTGTACTGTATTTTGGCATAAATGACCTGTCCATGATCTTGTGCTTGTGACCCCCCTCCACCCCTTATCAAAGTTGCTAGCAATACAAGACCATACTCCAAACTTGGAGGAACACCTTTGAATGGGAGGGAGGAGGGAGGTCAGTATTATATCTCACAGACCTGTGACCAGGAGCGATTTGAAGCAAGAAAGGTCGTTTTTCGTGGGAGTGTCTCAACATTTTTGCAATTGGTTGTAGCTACAGCATGCACTGTAGCTGATGGCAAGCTGTAAAAATGACTCTCTTCGCACACTGCCCTAATGTTTCCCTTAGTGCAGGGATGTCTGCTTTGACATGATTGCCTACAACTCATTGTAACCAATTTTTTTTTTGTTTACTTTATTCTTTTTTTTTCTTAGTTTACACGGCTGAAGCGTTTTTAAAAATAGTCGGTTATGGACTGAGAAAGTACTTACTATCTGGTTGGAATATGTAAGTATTGTTAATATTGACCAGTTTTGTCTCATACGTTTACATCAGTACATTTACGTTAAACATTCTTATTTTCTAAAATCGTTTTTAGAAAAATTATGTATTCTTGGGCAAAAGAACTTCAAAATTCATGTGGTCAGTGCTTCAGTTCTTCTTCTAACAGTCATTTTACAATGATAAATACTAATTTGGTATGCAGATAATACCACTAATGCTCTTTTCTGCCATGCATTTTTTTGTTTTTTTGTTTTTTCAGAAAATAAGAACCTATTTAAGAACCTATAGCCTAAATTTGTGCTAATTAATGTTTAGGTAAGAACTTTTTGGGCTAACTTGGGAAAATGCTGGTTCTTACTGGCAGGTTTTTACTGTACTTATTACCTCTCCTCTTTCTGTTTTCTTCACAAAAACCTCCATACTGTAGGTCTCAGGCAAAAATGCATACATCAGTGGAGGGCTGTCAGTAAGCATAGTGTGCCTTTACATGCTAACTTCTGTTTCCTTCGAAATTCAGCTATTGGCTGAAAATCAGGAAAGTTAGCACCCCATTATCATGATGATGATGATTATTATTATTATATTAATTATCTTTTAAGATTGGATTCCGTATGGATCAATATGGATCAACTAACATTTTGTCCTCTCATGTACACACCTTTTGTCCCGCAGATTTGATTTTTTGGTGACTTTGTTTGGTTTCATTGGAGCTATCAGCCCAACGTCCTTCAGTTTTATCGTGTGTCTCAGACCTTTGAGGCTTTTGCTGTAAGTTTTTGTATAAAAATTTGAATCATTTTGTCTTGCAATTCCAGAGGTTTGATTGACTTAGTGGTCGAATATTTAAATTATCATGCCTCACCCGGTAAAAAGCGGTCGGCATTAAATCACCTTTATATGTTATGGTCCATCTCTTTAAAGAAGGCAGTTATTCCAGTAAAGCCCTTTGGATGGAAGAGATTATGGCCAACTCATTGCTAGGCGCTCCAGCAAAGTGCATTATATTACCTACTATGCAAAAGTTACTGTAGTCCTTCAAAACAAATTATAATTCGGCCAACTTACGCATACAGTTGGCGTTATTTCAGTCCAACACAAATTAATTAATTAATTAATTAATTAATATGATGAAAAATTACTTTCACATTGTGGTTCTTTGCCAACACTATTCTGGACTGAATTGGAATTTAGAAATGTTGGTTTTTGAAGAGACGGTAGAACCACAATGTTCAAAGCCGATTTCACATGCTTGCCCCATTTCTTAACTTAACTTGAAACGATGGTGCATTTTTCTTCTGTCAGACTGTTCAAGCTTAAGGAGAGGTACCGTGACGTATTTGAGACGGCAGGTGTTTTGCTACCACGAATGCTCAGGTACTATTGCATATCGATGCATACACGAGATGCAATGCAAATAGTAGGGTAATTCAAGGTTTTGAGGGACGTTCCACGTTCCAAGAAGTTGTGTTACCCGTACGACAGTGCACCAACGTTTAATATTCTTGAGTTCTTTAGGTGTTTCCCTTTTCTTCTTACAGTCGAACCTCGCCATAACGGCCACCTTGAGGACAGAAGAAAGTGGCCGTGATGTGAAGGAAGGGGTGTCATAAGACATTTTTTTTAGGGAGTACAGCATGTTTTTTTGTGCTAACTGTGTCCCATAATCATGGTAATTCAATCGTTTATAACGTATAGAGATCAAATACACAAAAAGCTTGAATTATGTCTTGAATCAAATATTAACGTGCCAAAACGAGCAAGGTCGCAACATTCCCTCTAAGTATCGTAGACCATTTTTGCTTACTGCAGCAGTATAAATTGAGCAAAATCAAAATACGATTGCCGCGACTGATCGTAATCGTGCCATACGGATCAATTCGGGACCATTCTTGACTTTGTGATCAGCCGCTGAAAAAGTCTACATTGTGCATAGAGAGAGAACAACATGTGTCTCTTACAGCCTGCCAACAATCTGAAACCCAAGTCTGTGGGATATGAACCGTTAATTATCTTTCAATGGCATCAAAATCATCTCATGCAAGGAGAATAATGTAAAAACACTTTTCCTCCATAGGGTAGCACTAGTAATCATTCTCCTGTATTATTCGTTTGGTATTATTGGAATAGAATGCTTCTCGGGTCTTCAGCTCCATAACTGCTGTCCGTAAGTATATCTCTTAAATGTTCTTGACTTCATTTTATTGTTCTGGGAGTACTATAAAGTGTCTATGGTCCTTCCGTGTCTGTATTGCCCATTCCACCTAGAGTCTGCGCTAAGCCCATTTTATACGTCTGTAAGGGTATCCCATGATGTGATCAATCATGTAAACCTCTTTATAAGTGTTTTTGAATGGTACCATTTCTTTGCAGTATCCTAAGCAATAAGAAAATCTGAGGGGTTTTTGTTGTTGTCATTTTTAGGCATTATTGAGAGTTAGAAGGTTTAAAAATATATTTTTTTTGTACAGAAACACTTCATTTGGGGGAAGTTACGAAGAATCTGGATATTATTATTTAAATAACTTCGACGACTTGCTGCATTCATACGGTAAGACTCTTCATTCAGCCTAATAACCACGTATAACCTTTCTTTAGGGATAACTGACATAAACTTTCAATTGATATTTTTTTCTTGCAGTGACTCTTTTTGAGCTGACAGTGGTCAATAACTGGTTTATTATTATGGTAAGAACTGAACTATTCACAGAAAAATGTAACAATAGCGATTTCCTTTTGACCTTGAAAAATGGTTTCCGTAGTAAAAAGATGAAAACATGCATAATCATTTCAAGGTCAGATAAAATTTCTCTGTTTATTATGTCGCAAGCCAGGGACAAAGAAAACTGAAAGCACCGAGTCAACCTTCCGTATAGCCTTAACATTAGGCTCCCCAGGACTGTAACTAAGATTTCAATTTGCCCGGTAAATACAACAAGTAGGCGGGGAATCAAACAGCTAGGGATTTCGATTGATTCTGTTTTTCTTCTAATTTCCTATGAAAGTAGCCGGGGAAATCCCCGGACCCCGCCTCTTAATGACAGCCCTGGGCTTCCTAGGGGGCAAAGGGGAGAAAAGAGCTAAACTAAAGAAAAGCCCTCCCTCTCTTCTCATCCTCCCCCTTTTCCGCCCCCTTTCCCCTCACCATGGCTTGACGCTCAGTTTACCACCCCTTTGCCAGTCGGTGCTCTAACTACTGAGTGACGGAGGAACTCGTGGAACTTATGATGTTTCGGTCTTTTATGCTCTGTTCACACTAGGATACGTGCTGACAGCTGTTAATTAAACTTGTTCATGCTGAATCAAAGTACTGTTTAGATCTGCAAGCTTTGAAGTTCACACTGACAGTGAACAAGTCAGTAATTACAGTCAACTATAGTCTCTAATACGGACACCGTGTCCGTATATTAGAGAGGCGTCCGTATAAAAGAGGTCACTATGATAACGTCACTTTTATGACTCCACTTACAGTTCTAAGTGTTCAGTAGCTAAAACCATGCTCACACTCGCACACACACACACACTGCATTTTAAGTTATTAATTCACAGTACAGAGACACTGTCTTTCGTTAACAGAAAATATTGTACATCTCAGACAAATTACCGTTTTAAAACGAAACGAGGTACAGCGCAATGCCGCATGTAAACAGATGTAACGTAAAGCACAATTCTGAAAGCGTTTTTTGCTATTTAAACAGTAACTAGAGTACAAAATAGAACAGATCTTTTGCTCTCTGAAGTTACTGAAGCCTTCAAAAAGTCGATTATGTTCCTCCGTACACCTGTCGTAAATCGTTGTTTGATATACAGCGACTGGGCTTTTGAAATGACCTTGCATAGCTCACAAGCCAGACTAGACGGGTCCACGTTGTGCAGATTCATCTGATCGAGATTCGGGATTCACCTGATCACGGCTGTGTGCGTAATAAAGAGGTTAAGTTTATATGAATTTACTTTCTGGAGCCGAGATTTAGTGTCCGTTGTCCGTATTAGAGAGAGTCCGTGTGTAATAACGACCTGGATGTTAGGATTGCGGGCTCCTCTTCTCGCCCGCGAAAATGCGGGGTAAACGTTTCAAACATACTAGGCTATTTGTCCGCTTAATGCAGGGTGTTCGCTTAATATGGGGTCCGCTTAATACAGGTTACACTGTATTGTCATGAATTTTTTGGGGGGCACATCTGACCTTCCTGTGTTTTTTACTTAATAGGAAGGGGTTGTTCACATGACATCAGAGTGGGCCAGAATCTTCTTTATGTCTTTTTACATCGTTACCATGGTGAGTTACTGAACTGTACGGTTCTCCTTTTTAAAAATTACCCTAGGCGTTTACTAATTTTTTTGCTTTTTTTTTAACCAGGTTGTTATGACCATCATTGTAGCGTTTATTCTTGAAGCTTTTCTCTTCAGAATTCAATATCGCAAAGAACACCCTACAGACGAAAAAGGTACCTTTTTGACTGTTACAGTTTGATAGTTTCTTGGTAAATCACCAATGGGACTGATTTATGCTAAGGAGGTTTACCTCGGTGTAAGAACCTATGAACTTTTTGGGGGGGTTTGTATCTAGGTTCGCAAGTGTTGACTTCTTTGTGTTTTTCGTCACCCACGTGTTCTACAGGTTCTTACACCGAGGATGAAAAAGCGTAGAGAGGTTGTCATTGAGATCGGACGCCAGGTTGTTCAGATACAAGTTCAGTTAGTTTTTCTACCGTCCACCCAAGACATTAGGGAGATTAAGCAGCAACGAAGGTGACGGCTACGAAAACGTCACTTAAAAGTGAATTCGCGCTGCCTCAAACTTTTTCGCGCTTATTTATCTCGTTTAATACATCAAATGTTGGCAAATCAGGAAAAGAATCAGGAAAAGAAAAAGAAAGTTGTTGTCTTGTGTTCCCGTCCTCGACAAAACGTGAAAATAGGCACTTTCACATTGTAGTCTTACAACAACGGCTTAGAAATGTACAAAGAAGGGTGGTGCACGTGCAAAGTTGTTGTTTTTCTAATCTAAACCTTTTGCCGTACTCGTTGCCGTCGCCTTCGTCTTTGCTTAAGCTCCCTATTGTTTCGAATGGTTGCAACATTGTCGTGGTTCCATCATTGCAACGCTGTGTTGCGCTAAAAATCGTCGTTGCGAATCGTCTCGTGTAACATCACCTTTATAGGTGTCCGCTCTAGAGAGACCAACGCAAGATGTTGTTTTCTCGTGAGAGAGTCAGCTGTATTTCCCTTTCCAGGTCTAAAGTCCTGTGATGTAACAACAGTTTCACGTTTTGCAGATGTGTCGCATTAGGAGCGAATTTTAAATAGTGTGAAAAGAGTTTTTAGTGGGTCATCTAATACACCAAAATTGCTGGAATTTTATTTGATTTTTTCCCTTCACCCAACAGAGGACATGAAGATACGGAAGGAGATCACAGTTAATTATGAAGAGCTTCTGGCGTTAGGTGAAGAGTATGTGACAGACGTACAGCCTCATCAGACTGTAAGTACTAAGGCTGCCTGTCCTCATTTTATTTGTGGCGACTAATTGAGGTAGTTTCTCCGTGTTGCTGATGAGTGCGACCACCAAATGACGTAATACAAAAGATTAAAATGACACTGAGGAGTATCCACTTGCCACAAAACAACACCTAACCAACATGTATCCTTGTGTTGTCTTGCAGGTCCAGTATATAGGAAAACGGTCCAAAACCAAGATGGATTTAAGCAAAAAAATGTATGCAGATGAAGTTGAGGTATGGTTTAGCAACAGATCCCCGGCTACGAAAAATTTATATTCATTTACATTTTTTATTCTAATTAAGAGGGAAAAGTGACAAAGAAAATTTTCTTTTCATCAGATGACCGAGGGACAATTTTTACCCAAGCCACATCACCCTGAGGGGATAAACACGAAGTATCGTCATTTCTTACCGTTACCTCTTTTGTCTTCTAAGAATCCGCGAGAGGGGAGAAATCTCGGGGGGTACTCCTGGGAATTCATGCTGGGGGTGGTGTGCCGCCTGGTTTTTTAAGTCCTGATCCTATTTCAGACCAAAAAGTGTCATTTCCACACCCGTTTTCAGACCTGGCCTTTAGTCAGAAATTATGTCATAACAGGAACGCCCTTACAGCGGCGTTCAGTCTCGCTTGCTTGGAGATTAGATTTAGAAATGAGGAGGCAATTAATTCTACACGAAACAGGAATTACTCGCTAAAGGTTTTTTACTTCCTACTTTATCGACGTTGAGTATTCTTTAGGATATTTACTTTTTATTTGTTTCTCAATTGATTTACTACGCGTGTTAGCGACGACTAGAACCACGTGTAAGGTCGCAAGGCATTCCCCTTCCCCGCCTTTATGTGTCATAAATACAAAGAAAAACGGCTTGCAGACTATGAGTCTCAAAAAAAGAATGCAAACAAAAAAATTCTTCAAATGCATTTCGAATTCGCATATTTCTCTTTTTTTCTTATTCATTTGGAATTGAAGTGACAAATACGTCCATACGCCCCCGTAGTTCCCTCGAAAACGATACCCTATTGCAGAAATGGGTGAAGTGTATACCCGTTTTCAGACCAAAAAGGCCCAAAAACCATACTCTTTAGGATGGCACATATCTATATGGCTTATATCAGAGAGTACCCCCCCCCTTCCCCCACCCGAGGAGGGGAGAAATCTGAAGGGTTTCTAATTTGTCACGAGAAAGGATACCGTTGACGGCAGCTTATAAGCCGTGGGCTTATACATCTTTGTAAGGAGTCTTAGGAGGGCTTATTAACAGAGGGGCTTATATCCGAGGGGGGTTATAACAGCAAATATGCTGTAAACTGCCACTTATAAGCCCTGGGCTTACACATCTTTGTAAGGGGTTTTAGGAGGGCTTATTAACAGAGGGGCTTATATCCGAGGGAGGCTTATAATCGAAAATATGCTGTAAACTGCCGCTTATAAGCCCTGGGCTTATACATCTTTGTAAGGAGTTTAGGAGGGCTTATTAACGGAGGGGCTTATATCCGAGGGGGCTTACAACCGGAAATATGCTGTAAACTGCCACTTATAAGCCCTGGGCTTATACATCTTCGTAAGGAGTTTAGGAGGGCTTATTAACGGAGGGGCTTATATCCGAGGGGGCTTACAACCGGAATATGCTGTAAACTGCCTCTTATAAGCCCTGGGCTTATACATCTCCTTAAGGGGTTTTAGGAGGTCTTATATAACTTGGGGGGAGGGAGGGTTTATGAGCGGGAATTTCCGGAAGTTTGTTTGTTTGTGCGTGTTTTCCTCTTCCACAACGATCCTTGCTCTTAAATGATGGTGTTCATTTACGTGATGTGCTAATTTGATCACTATTTTCTTAATTATGCCAAATCTCTTTGTTACACGACTGTCTTCATTTTCATAGGTGAGGGAGGGAGCTCATGTAATAAGCCCTTACGTTTTCAATTTGAGCTTCCTCGCCAGAAAAATACCTCTAGTTCTTCCACCTATGTAATTTACGCCATTTTTAATCTGTAACTATCTTTTTTGTAACGTATTGAATAACTGTATATTTTTTTCTGGCCAAAAATTAAACTAAAACTGAAAAGGGAAAGGGAAGGAGGAATTCCGGCTCGCGAGGAGATTTTCCGCCCCGCGTGCCCCGCGCGCCCCTCGCGCTCTCGGGCTTGAATTCTCCCTTCCCCATTTCTTCCCCATGTAACGCTTGCCACGTAGGCTATAATAGGGTCCCATAAGATCTGACGACGGTTACGGCAACGAGAACTTCAAAAAGGAGTAGGAGAGTAGATTAGCAAAACAACAGTTTTGCACGTGCGTCACACTGTTTTGTACATTTCTTTGCCGTGGCTGCACGACTACGACGTGAAAATGGGTAATTTCACGTTTTATGGAGGACGTAAACAAGCAACGACGAAAGTTACTTTCTCTTTCTGAACCTGGATAAGGCTCTTAGGGATTCAATTCCAGGAGAGTTCCTGTACGTATGAAACAGTAAGTGATATGGAATAATTGCGATGAAGATTGGAAAACCGCGAATTCACTTTTTAATTTACGTTTTCGCTGCCGTCGCCGTCCTCGCGTCTTAAGGATCAAAAAACGGTTTTCATTTGCGTGACATTTTTGTGTTGAGTGGTGTTCTTCACTTGCGTGACGCATGTTTTCCTTTCAGCAATGGATTCAACATGAAAGAACCATTGATATGGAAGACGAATTGGCTCGGTTTGATGTTGTCGAGGAAACACCGCGCAGACCTGGAGTAACTGACGTCGTCATTATGAACAATATAGCTTGCGCCGAAGACACCGCCATTTAATGAGTTCAGGTATATAGGCAGTATCTAACCCCATAGGAAGAACAGGAAGTTTAGAATTAGCGGGTTGTTATTGAATGTCGATTATAGGGTTCTTTTTATTTATTGAAATTCAACTTCACAGTGAGGCCTAGACAACACAGCCTCTAAACCTCGTTATCAAGTGAAACATTGAAATATCCAAAGAAGCCGGTCACATGTAGCCTGCGTGGCAGGCGCAAAAAGGGGAGGGGGAGGGGGGAGGGAGAAAGGGAAAAGGGAAGGGAGCGCCTGCTCTAAGAGCCTATGTTTTTGCATAACGCCTACCAATTTTCTAGTAATCCGATTACGCTTACTGTCAATCAAGTGTCGCTACACTCGCCATTGCAGAAAAACATTACACTCACGGACTAAAGAAATTCGCTTAGTTATTCAGATCCAGAAACCCTTATTCAGCCGTAATAAAAAAAGCTTTACGCTTCAAAAGAGGTCAAAGAAATTGCGCTTGCATCAGAGGGCAAATCCTGCCGACCAGAAAACAATAACTACAGTCAATCGATATGTATGTCATGACCTCTCAGTGTGAAACATGCGGCTAAAATAACATTTTCTCGGTATAAATGCAGAACCTTCCAGAGCATAATCTACCCAGCAGATAAAAACAACTTTATTGGAATAAGCAGCATTTTGGCATGAGGTAAAACCACCCTCTTTTATTCCTAAGTTACATCGGCGAATGTCATCGTTCGATAAATTGGCTAAATCTTTCGCTGGGTAGCCCAACAATTCCATCTCCTGCAACTGGTCTTCGATAATACCTTTCAGTGGCGAAATGACGAGAATCGCCGCATTACCATTTAGCTCGTAGTTCTTCGCGCGTACAAACATTTGGTAAATTAAATTCTTGCCGTATCCGGTCCGCGAAACCGCCAGAACATCTCTGTCGGCTAAAAGAGCCCTTACTGCTGATTCTTGCTCTGGTTTTAAAACAGTTTCTCTACCACTAGATAAATTTACATCTCTCAAAGCACTCTCTACGACATCCACGTCTACCGCTGCCATCTCGACTGTTTGTTGATTTGTGAAACGCGCATTTCAATATGTTACTCATTACGGCTCAGCCAATCAGGAATTTGCGGACGCCAGCGTCCGCAGATATGAACAAAAGGGGGTTCTTAGAGCAGGCGTCCCCTCCCCCTCTCTCCAATCCCCCTCCCCTTTTTCCCTTCCTCCCTATCCCCTACCCCTCCCCTTTTTGCGCCTGCCACGCAGGCTAGTCACATGTTGACTTTTTTACATTTTTTTAAGCTTTCTAATCGGCTGACCAGTACTTACACGTACTAAAGTAATCACACCAGCAATGCTTTAAAGCTATTGAGAAGCAAACATAAACTGCCATGGTAAAGGGTTCTTCTCTCGCTTTTGGTGCAGATTACACTTCTTAGACGCTGCACTTGTTGCAGGTCCTCCCACCGTCAGTACCTTCTGTTTCCTTTCCACTCTTGTCACCAACCTCGTCCCCAGGGCTTTGAGTCCCTAGCTCGAATTCTGATTGGTTTATGTCGTTTATTGACGCCGTCCGATCACATAAATATTTATAACTAGTTCGGGGTGCGTAGGCTGTGTGAGCTGTCACCGTGTGACGAATAAAAACCACGCGAAACGATTTTTATGTGAACAATTCCGAAGGCGAGCAAAAAGAACCAATATAGAGTTTGCTCGCTGGCTATTGTGTAACAAGCCCTAACCCCAAACCGTTGAAATGTCAGGTCTATAGGTTTAATTAGAGTAGGTCCTCTTCTTTTAGAAAATGATTTGAATAGCGTATGGTGAGATAAGATGCAGTACTTTGAAGCAGGCAAGTCAAAAAAGTGGGAAGAAAGCGTAGAAGAAAACTAACAGATTCAGTTTAGGTGTGATGTTGTTGTTAGCTCATGTTATTATTGTTGTAAATAATATTTGGGGCTGCTCTACTCGAAAAGCTACAAAAAGAACCTCTCACAATTGGACTCTGAAATTATAGCAGACATCCGTTTGAATGTGTTTGTAAGGCTATCATAGGAACTTACCATTCGCAAAAAAGAATACTATGCCAGGAGTCGATATATACGTAAAGAAAAACAAACAAAAAATCAATTTTTAGTCGGATATGTGGAACTATTCTACATTTGGGAACTTGACAGACTTAACATTACAGTAATGATGGATATAGTTTTATAATAATGAGGCCCCTTTCGGGGGCGGGGGATACCTGGTACCTAGATTGAATTTTTAAACACTTTGTTTCACTGACGTATTTAGGAGGAAGCTATGTCTTTATCGATATTTTACCATTGCATTTGCGCTTGTCTCCGTTGTAGCTAGCCAGTTTCAGTTCATCTTAATGAGTCGTTTGTCGTCGTTTCAACTAGCCTGTTCTGGGCGTTCAGATAGTAGAGCGCGGTTGTCAGATGGTGAGAAGCGAGTTAAATTCTACATCGGGAAAACGGGGGAGAAAAAAACAAAGGGAGAATTTTTTTCCCTTCGTGAATTTTTCTCCAGCAGTCTACTATCTGTACGTCTGAACAAGGCTACGTTTAGACTGTCTAACTTACTCCGGCTTTCAATGCCACGTTGTTTGTTGGAATTCTGTCTATCAGGGCTTCTCTAATGTGTAGCCAGAATAATACACATCTTAAATGCTCAGTTTTACAATTCTACTCGTAGACGACCAGTTTCCGATAGATTTTTAAAACATTACAACCTAAGTGTTTTAGCGCGTTGCTTTTCTAGACATCGAGGGTAGAATGTATCGACCTTTGTTGCATGGTTGTCTTTTTAGGCTGTAAGGATCAGGAACAAGGACTTTTAATAATTCAGATTCGTAGGCGAACTGACATATAAGACGTAGGCGAATCGACTCTAGACGAAAGCGAACAGACCGTAGGCGAAACGACCAGTTACCAAAGTAACTGTAAGTGTGTATGTAGTCTGTAAATGTGAATTGTAGTCACATCAATGCGACTGAATTTTGTAATCGAGTCGCAAGACTTAATCTTGAAGTGTTATCGTAGGAAATTTATTTTCAGACTTGTACAGAATTCTCTTTTCCTCCCACTGCTTGTCTAGTGGGAATGCAAAAATTTCTTTTTATTAACTGCTTTATTACGAAGCATCTAACGGAATCAATACGAATCAATATTGGCGAAATACTCAAAGTGGGGCAGAGGACCCCATTCGAGACTTCAGTCCGCCTTAAGGTGCTAAAACTAACCGATAAGAAGTGCTTTTTTCGAGAATTATCTATGATCTATGGGAGGGAAAATCTCTGGTGCATAGCCATTTCCGAACCCTGAAAGCTATTTAGACGTGTTTTTGATGTTGGTTTTCCTTTTATGCTTATTCTCACTGGCTTATTGCCAGAAGGCACTGTGTCAATTGTCCTTGTTGCGCACGGCGTTAACGCGTAACCTTCATAGCAAAGGTACCGGGTTCGATGCCTACTGCCCTTTTTTGACGAATTTAAAAGATTGCTTCTTTTTCTTTTTATGGTTACTGGAGTGCAAGGAAGTATGTGTCCTCTCAGGGGACTATTTTTTTCATGATGTTGCCAATGATGTTTTTATTGTGTACATATTTTTCAATCTTACCTGCTTGTTTTAAGGCAGGAATTAACGGTTACGAATATTATAGGCGTTCCAGAAAATCTCAATCTACTGCCATACGAAAAATAGATTTTTAAATGTAGAATTTACATTCGCTTTTATTCCGTAAGGCACTGTCTTACATTTTCTTTATTTTATTCGAAGAGATAGACAGACAGTTGTAGGTAGATTTGAATCCACTTTATAGAGAGAAATTATCAAAGGTGAGCAAATCTCGTTGCAATGAGAAATTTTTAAATTACAACCTGATATTACTATTTTCGTGACAATAAGTGAATTATTGTAAATAATATCATAGCAATAAGATCAATTTGTAAAATATACGTGGCATATAATAAATCATAGAAGTTTACAAATAGAACATTTTGATAAAAAGTCGCTTCTACTTGTTTCACAGCTAATCGAGAAACCTTCGTAAGGGGAGACCGCTAGACAGTTCACAGTCACCTATTTTTCCTCAAGATGATTGAGCCCGACAACTAACCCTTACGGGCGGCCATATTGGTTTTTAGAAATGTAGGGTTTCTATCCTGGGAAGCAGTATCAAATCTACCTAAGGTGATGTTACACGAGACGATTCGCAACGACGATTTTGAGCGCAACACAGCAATGTTGGAACAATGTTGTAACCATTCGAAACAATGTTGTAATGCTGTGCCTTCCTAAAAATCGTCGTTGCCAATCGTCCCGTGTAACATCACTTTTAAAGGCGGGGGACGTTTGTGAGGAGGGCACCCTTCTCCCACCGTTACAAACACCGACAACCGTCCCCTCGGAAATTTGAATCCCACATGGACGCCCATAACGGTAAGCGCTCGATCTCGACGATCTTATGGAAAAATAGGGGACTGTGAACAGTCCAGCAAATCGGCCACGGTCCATCGAATTGTTGTGATCATTTGCCCCTCCCCTCAGCCCCTGCCCCGTGGCAAATTGAGTAAGAAAGTCGATAACCGTTATACATTCACCAGCGTAAGCCGAGTAAAATGCAGTGTTCTTTTTCGTTCCAAAGTAAATTTATTGCGGAAAAAGTAGTATGCAATGCAAGCCCAAGCTATAAATAATTAAGTTGTAAATTCCAATAAATAGAATCTGTCACTGGTTACAAATTTCCCGAAATTCTTTCTCTGTCTTCATTTAGTTTTTGTATTACAACAGTAAAGAGATTAATTTTTCCACACTGTTTCTAAACATAATTAGATCCTGTGTCAACTTGATAGCTTTTGAGTATATATCGTTAGCTTATTCAATACTCTCACTTAATCTTGATTATCTCAAATATTTGCCTTGAAAACCGGGTTTTACTTATCAGTTGGATTAACAAATCAAGTTAAGAAATTCGCCATTTGCACATCTCCCATAATAATACACCCTTTTTGCTCCCCAAAATGTTGAATAACCTTTTTTTTTTAATTTCTCCCGAGTATTACAGACGTCCCAAGAGAAACTGAAGACAATGCATATGCAAAATTTGGGGGCGCAAACAAGGTGTATTACTGGAGGTGTGCAAATGGCGAATGTTTCTTTCCCATATCTTAAACTAAAACCTTACGGTCAATGAAAGCCTGTTGCAAGCGTTCAAATAGTTATTGAGTGGGTGAAGTAAGGCTGCACGGAGAAAAAGAGCTTAACAAACTGCTTGAAACTTAATCTGTGCCAGGCTCTCGAGGAGTATGAACGTTGCAAAACAAGCTAAGGGAAAAGAGGACGTGCGCCTTCTCTTTCCCCAGCCTCCGCGCGTTTTTTGCATCAGTTCTGCGCAAAAGTATCTTGGAACCTGGAACAGAGTCTACACTGTATGCAAACGTTGCAAAAAAGACTTTCTAAATTTGCAAATCTTGTAATCTATCGACTTTCACTAGCCTACTTTTTCTTGTTGTCCTGTTGAAAAGACATTTAAAATCCCTTTCTACTTAATAAAAGTACCGGAAGCATAATCACGTGACAACACTTTGTATAAGGCGTGACAATGAAAAAGTTTTGATAGGGGGTGTGTAGAGGCGGTACTGATATTCGCATAAAATGGTGCTATTTGAACGCTTGGAACAGGCGTAACAATAGGTAATCTATTCTCAGTTTCTCATCAACTTCAATTTAAACTACGATCATACAGTGACATATATTTTTTTACCATTCAAAACCAAAAAAACCTACCAATTTGCGTTTTGTAACATATCGAACAAAAACAGCATCGGAAAAATCTACATGCGCAGACTTAAAGCTACAAGCATGCTACACTAGAAAAGGTTCTAATCCAATAACATTGGTTTAAGAACACATTTCATGCCCGAAATTCTATTCATTACGCAGCCTGATCAGTTCACCTATGGAGGTTTGATTTTTGCTGTCGTTGACTCCAAATCTGAATCCTGTTTTACCGAAATATGTTATCGAGCTCTCTCTTCCTAGGACTAAATGTTTGAACCTCTTTTCGATCGGTAGAAACTTCTCCAGGCTCGAAATGTCTTCGGTTTTTTTTTAGAAACAAGGTTCAGTATTTGAAACTGCAATAGGCCAGTTTTGAATGATTAAAATTCACAATTGGCTCTGAGGCTAGGGGCATAAAAAAAAGACATTGCATCGAGATTCATGGATGAATCCATGAATTGCCTTGCCATGCCATGCCTTGGAGGTAATATATGAATTTTGTGAATTCGAAACTGGCCTATTCTTCATCCAAATTTTACTTAGCGTCCGTTTAAGTGATCAAAGTCCTTGGAACAATATCAGTTCCCTGCTTACCAATGCCGGTACCTTTGGGGCATAATTCAATGGGACGCCACGCCAATTTAATTTCTGGAATCGTCACCTGCACGGTCTTGTGAATGTAAATAACTTAGTTTGCAGAGTCAATAGGACAATTAAGTTCACCTCGCTCCAGTCTGGTACCTTAACAGCAGTCTACGGTCAGATCCAGAAACACTCTCCCGTCCATAATGCCCCAGCATTGTTATTAAGATCCTAAAGCATTGTTCAGTTAATAACGCAGCAAAGTAGTGCCTTTCAGTGCCGCACAAAAAGTTGACGTTCCAGTCACACATCTGAATTCACTTCTTCACACAATCACATAATCGTACAACAGGTGGTGGTTCTTTTGAAGGCATTGAGTGTGAGCATGTGACCCAACTGTCGAGCTATTTCATCGGTCATTTCAAAGTGCTGTACCATGACCCAGGTCTCCTTTTCGCATTTCTTGTCTTTCTTGCTTTTCTTCTCAGTCAGCTCCATGACAATCTCCTCGGCATTTTTCTCGTCATTTTCCGGTTCTGTTAAAACACTCTCCACTATACGCCTTTGAAGCAGTTTATCCATTTTCGTGCTTTTTTTGGTTGCTTTCGATTTCACCTTCTCCGAGGCTGGTTCTTCGTCGATTGCTTGTTTTCCTTCGGTGCTTCCCTCCTTCAGTTCGGCTTTACACTCGGCACGTGATGTCGCCACTTTGCTTTCTGAAGATATTCCTTGGATGGCTTGTGTCTCTTCGGTATCTTCGGTCTTTGGCTCGGTTTCTTGTTCAGCCTGCGACGTGTCCAAGCTGGCTTCTTGTTGCACTTTTGACTCGATGACTTGAGATTTTTCGGGTTCCGATGAGTCTTCGCGATTGTCCGTCTTCGGTTCTTTGTTATCTTCGGCTTTCATTGAGTCGGCTTCCTTGCTGACTTGCATTTCTTTAGCATGTACATCCTTTGATTCGGTCTTGTTTTCGAATTTTGGCCCGTCACCCTCGCTTTCCAGTACTGTTTCTTCGGCGATGGCTCGTATTTCTTCAGTGTCTGAAATCTCAACTTTATTTGCTTGTTGAACTTGTGATTCCGAGTCCAGCGGTTTGTCGGTTGGCAGTGTATCTTCGGCTTCTGCTGTCTGCTGTTTGGTTTCTTCCTTTGGTGACTCACTGACTTTTGATATTTCTGTTTCTTTTTGATCTTCAGCTTCTTCAGTCTTTAGTTCTAATGTTTGTTCTACCTGTAACTGGTTTTTCTTGGGCTCCGAAACATCTTCAGGATTTTCGGCTTTCGGTTCCGTTATTTCCTCGGCCCGTGAAACTGCCTCTCCGATTTGTGGTTCTTCACTTTGCATTTGTTTGACCGACACGATTGTGGAATCGGAATCGTAAGATTCCTCTTCGACATCCAAAGACGAGTCAGTCTTAAGTTTCTCTTCTTCGCCTGGTTGCTCGGTGACTTGTGATGTCTCGGTCTCCGAGTGTTCTTTAGGTTCTTCGGTCTTTGGTTCTGTTGTGTTTTCTATTCGTAATGTCTCCTTGATTAAGTCCGATGTCCCAGTTTCGGAATTTTCTGCCACTGGTTCGACTTCAGGATCAGTGACTTGTGCAGTCTCGATTTGTGCAGTTGCTCCTTCCTTGTCGAGTAGCATATCATCGCGCACGATCTTTGTTTCTTGACTCGGCAACTGCTCGACGGACACGACTGTGATGGCTGATTCGTACGATTTATCGTCAAAGTCTTGTTCTGCGTCTTGTCCTTCTGCAGATGTTTCAGCCGCGTTTTCATCAATTTCACCCGCCTCCATTTGCGATCCAATTAAAGCACCTTCGCTGTCGGTGTTTGGTTCGACAACTTCAGTTTTCTCAACTTGTGTCTCGTTCTCATCATCTCCCTCGGTTTCTTTCATCTCTTTGACATCTTTGACTATTTTCATTAGCGAACTACGCAGTTCGTGAGCTTCCTTCCAAATCTCTTCATCACGCGTGTCATCGCTCGCGGATAACATGCGTGGATTTTCATCCTCTTCTTCGCTTTCTTCGGTTTCAATTTGCTCTTGTTCTTTGTTCTTTTGTTGCGACAGTTTTTCCTTTTGTTGAGGACTTAATTCATTTTCCTCGGTTCTTAAAGTGACAGTTTCTTCGGATCTATCCTGATCTTGCTGTTTCAAGTCTTTCTCCTCCTCAACAGGGTCACTGCTTTCTTTAACATCTGATATATCTTCAACGAAATTTTCCCCGTCTTCCTTCTTTCTTTTCTGAGCTTGGCTAAGCCCAATATTCTTCAAATCGCTTGTCTTTCTCTTCACTGCTTGGGGTGTTCCCTCTTCATTATCAGAACGTCCTTCGTTTTTTCCGTCGACCATCTCTCCACTATCTATAGTTACATCTTCTTTGCAGACTTTCTCCCCACCGTCTTCTTGATCAATCTTCTCTTGTTTTTCTTCCTTTTCAAGCGGCTTTTTCTTTCCTTGCTTCGATTTTTTTAACTTTCTAAACGAGCGCAAAATACTTGGTTTTTTATTTTTATTTGATGAATCTTGTCCCGTTTCTTCAACTGTTGTAGCTTTCTGCTCTTTTCCTTCCGGGGAACTGGATTCTTTGTCAACGGACACCTCTTCTGTTCCATACGCCTCTAACGTTTCCTTTGCCTGCGGTTCTACGTCTTTTGTTTCCTTTACGCTTGGCTCTTCTTCTTTATTTTCAGAGTTATTTTCTTCAGTCTCAATTGCACCCTCTGCTTCTCCATGTTGACCATCCGTGCCGCTGACATCTTCATTTTGTTTCCCGGCGGAATCGACCTCGCTTTCATTGGTCTTTGCTTTCGGTTCATCTTCACCTTTCGCCAACTTCCTCCTTTTTGCCTGGCTTTTATTTCTCTTCAAGGTGAGAAACGATTTCTTTTTCTTCGTTGCTTCTTCATCTTTCTTCTCTCCCTCTACTTCAGCTGCTTCAACGACAGCGCTCGGTTCTTTCAAGTCAAAGTCAACAAGAACAGGTTCATTTGACTCGATGACGGCCTTCTCAGAAACTTCCCCTTTTGTATCTTCGTCTTTCGACTCTTGAGTTTCGTTTTCAGGAACTTCGACATCCTTATTCTTGTTTGTAATTACCGCTTTCTTTTTGTTACGCCCAAAGCTTGGTAAATGTTTCACTTTCTTGCTTTTGTTGCCTTTACCAACCGACTTTTCTTTCTTTCCCTCGAGAGAACTCTCTGCTTCCTTGCTTTTCACTTCTTCGGGTTTTGCACCTTGTTCGATCTGCCTTTCACCGTTTCCGTCCGTTTTTAATTCAATTGTTTCGTATTCATGTCTGGTGATTTTGTCGCTTTCTCCAGTCCAAATTCCAGTTTCATCTGTCATGTCCTCAGCGTCAATAACTTCAGCGGATGACTCCGGTCTGCTTTTAGAATTTTTTTTCGAGCGGAGTAAAATGAAGGACGAACGCTTGTTTTTCTTGCTTCCATCAGTCTGATCCTGTTTGACTTGTTCGACAATGGACTTTCTCTGTTCCCCACTCGATTCTTTGTTCTTGTTTGTAGATTTTTCGTTAGTTTTATTCTCCTGTTCTGTTTCACCAGCGCCGGCTCCGGTCGCTTGGTCGCTGTGACTAGCACTAGAATCTTCACCTTTCTCTGCTGTCTTTTCCGTCTCCTCGTTCGTTGCACTCATTTGGCTACTTTTTTCGACATTTGCCTGAGAAACATCGTGACTTCCTTCAACGTTTTGTTCGTCGCTAACCAGAGTGGGACATTCCTGGCTTTTTTCCTCAGTGCCCTCGGTGAATTTTGCCCGAAACTTTTTGCCTTGTTTACGTTTTTTCTTCGACTCTTTTTTTGGATCATTCTTGGTGTTGGCCATCGGCTTTTCTAATCCCGTCGACTTTGAACTATCTGCCATTTTCAGTTCACTAGTGGTGATCTCTTTACTTCTGTTGTGGTATCAGAACGTTTCCTGCAAAAGTGAATAACCCGACTTGAAATAAAAATGTAAATAGGTCTCTGAATCACGAACGGTGTCAAGCTATTCAACTGACTTGTCACGTGGTGTTATTTATGAACGTGAACCATCATAGAAGTAATTTCTTAGAAATTTTTCGCAAAACCTCCATCCGACCCTCCATGTCGCAGCAGGATTCCCCCTCTCATTGCCAAGTTTCAAGTGCACATATAAATTTCTTTTCTAGAGCCTACTTCTCTTTGAGGAGACGCTAAGATTAGACATTGACTCAAACAGCTATAGAAGGTTTTTAAACCGGTTCAAAGTCTATTCCACATGTTTGTTATGTGTGAAAGTAACACCTTACTTAGAAACGATTAGAGGCAGCACGAGTGCACAGGAAATTTGCATGTCAAAAAACATGACATTGACCAAAGGTTGTTCTTTTATGCTATATATGTGCACATAAATCTGTTCAAGTTTTAAAGAGCCTACAAACTTATGCATTCCCAGTAGCCTACATAGATGGCGCAATCAGGGTGGGTTAGCGCTTTTTAGCGGCCAAGCCGTTACGCTTAACTAGCGCCTAACGGCTGAACAAAAACAATAACAGCACCTGTTGACTGAAGCAGGAGCGCGCGATAAATCCCGCCAGCTACGCAGGCTGGATTTACAGCTGTCTACGCGTGAGAACGAGATTTATCCGGAAATATCAACTCTGGAGACCATTTACAAATAGTGTTGTTCACGATCGTTCCCGCGTGAACGGAAACCGTAAACACATAACTTATACTAAAAGCGACCAACAAAGCCTTTAAGAATATACCAAGATTTTCTGCGTAAGTCAAGTTTTTGAGGTCTCTAAATCTTCTCAATAGAGCCTTTTCACTCAGTAGGCCAGGAATAAAAGAAAGTTTTTACACAAGAAAAAGGTTCAACACCCAAAGAATTGTTCTGGGACACCGACATGGCGGACGTGACGTCATGAGAAAACGCACTATAAGAGAGAACAACAGATCGACTTCTCTAAAATGAAATGAGGCAATCTTAGGGAATAGAGGAAATTAATACGTGCCCTTTATGTAATGGCGTTCCCTAATTCCCCCAAATCACTGTTGGTTTGAGGCTCATCGTTGCTTAGGTAATGCTTTGGTACACCGCGCGCACTCTCAAATCAAAATGGCAGCCTTTGTGCTTTTCTTCTGTGCCGATATATGTTTTGCCGGACGCCACACACCTGCTGTTAACTACCATTGTTACAGTAAGAACAGACGAGCAAATGGCAAAGACGCGGATAACATGACAAGTTAATAGGTTAACGAGATCTAATGTGAATAAGCCTGCGTGGCGATGGTTGGCGCGCGCGGCCATTGCCCATTTTCCTTCCTCTTCAAACGCCTGCCCCGCGAGCTGAATTAAGTAGTCAAGTAGTTTAACGCAAAAACCAGTCAATAGATTTTCTTATTACATGTAATTTACACAGCTTATATTTAGTAACCCCATACCCTCAATTTCTTACAAAAGAACTTCACAAATGAAAATTGTTACTAACAGTTTTTGAAATCGCTTTGATGAAAAACTTGATTGTATCACAAAATGCTTTTGTCAACTGTTATTTTGAGAAAGTCATTGACCGAAGTGTGACAGGAACGGGATTTCTACCAAATTTCGTCAAATTTTAATTAGATTTGTTTACATTGCCTTTGATAGACAACAACGCAAGCACATTGCTCCCTATTAAAGTTCGCATACTAAAGAATTGGGCGCGCACTGAGATCACGTGGTATGTCAAAGATGACAGAAACGGAATAAATTTCTACTGACAACTTCTGGGAATTTGTCCCAACTTGTTCCCGCACATTTTTTCTGAAAGGTTCATTTGCTGCATATCTCCTCTCGATTAACATGTTAAGTAAGGAGATAAAGCATTTTTAGAGAAACCGACTTTAGCAACCTTCAACAAAATCAGTCTATCGCGTTCTGGCAATGGTAGTATATTGCTCATACATTTCTTTGATTATGGATAGAGTATTCCCCACACCATTCTCCAGTTTCTTAGCAGGATTAAGAAGAGCATCAGTTAAACAATCAGTGACGTCTTAGATACCTCCTACTCACCAACTTTTATACTAAAAGGCAGTGATACTGCACGATAAAATTGTATTTCTGTTACCTCCAAGACGTCGAAAACGGTTACCTTTGACTTTGACTTTTTGGCAATACGCGGAAAAGCAAAATACGTCGACATAAAATAACAAACCATTGCTGAGTTACTGCAAGGTTTCACTTAGATTTGGTACCTCGACGCATGCGATCAATAAAATGTGAAATCGGAAAACCAATCAATGCCAATCGTTAACTATCGATAATTCTTAATTAATTGATATTCTTAGCTGAAAAATTCAACTGTCGATTGAATTGATAAATTTTCAAAAGAGAGGGAGTAAACCATACTCCAAAGAAAATTAAGTTAGCATTATGTTACCTCTCCGAAGCCAGGTGACTTGTAACTACGTGCATTTTTCAGGACTTGTTTTGTGAGTTTAATTGCTTTTATCAAAAAAGTCAAGAAAATAATAGTGTTTTTTCTTACCACCACATAATTTATAGTTTAGCAATAGGGCCCATGTCCAGCGCTCTCAGTCATTTAAAGGCTGTTAAAATGCACGTTAATGCATCCCGTGTTTAAAAATCTGAGTTGTTTAATTTTGCGTTAAAAAATTGCTCCACTTCGCGCTAAAAAGTTGTTACATTTCGGGTTAATGATACGTTTTGCGTCAAAAGTTGTTACATTTTGCGGAGTAACGCACACAGTTGTTCAATTTGAATAGTTTCACCTGTAGTTTTTTGAATCAGTTGAGTATGTTATACTTCCTTCGCTCATGCTTAACTTTTAACTAGCCTGTCAATTTTAAAATATTACCTGTTCGTTGGAATGTATAGTGCAATTTGTAAATAGATATCGCTAAAATTTATCCGTCTATTAAAATTAAGCAATAAAAATAATGACACGATTTTCTAGAAACGTTTAGGAAAGTGGCAAATGAATTATAGATGAAGCTGTTCTCTTCTAATATTTTCCTTCGATGAAACACGTTGAAAACTCTTGATAAAAATCGATAGAGGGACAGTCAAACCTTCAGTAAGCGACTACCCAAAATGGCAAAGATTTAGCGGTCGCTTACCGGAAGTGGTCTCTTACGAGAATCAAACCACACGGGATCCCTTCCTAGAGGAGTCCCGGGCACATCTACTTTTTGGAAAAGAATTCGTTGCATGCAATTTCTAATTGAGGATATGGAGTGTAGTCTCAAGCGGTCACAAATAGTTCTCATGTGGTCGTTCACGGTCTGTTTGTTTTTCCAAATGAAATTGACTGGGAAAATGTTTATGATAAATGCCATCGATTTGTCAAATGACTTTATCGATTTAAATCAATTTTTATCTATTGCTTTCGAATGCCATCGATAAATGATTTTATCGATTGCACACGTCGAATGGTACTACAGGGTCAATAACTTGCAACAGACATAAGCGACAGAATGGCATGAAAGTAAGAAAAAAAACTACAAGATAATACTATCCCTAGAATATTTTGAAAATTAGGACAAAACTCGTATTAAGCGATAATTACTGTCCTAGAGTACAATGAAAATGTTCACGCGCTTGACCTAAAATGCGCCCCTTCAGAAACGTTGTTCTCAAAACGAGATTCTAGAATTCCTTGGGGAGTGTTTCAACCATTTATAATCATCCACATCATTTTTACAGGGAGTACCCCTTTCACCGTTGTTTTTTTTGTTTGTTTGTTTTGTTTTCAAGTCACGTCAACTATATTTGGACAGACTCTTTTTTTGCTTTCGTACCCATGCTGTTATACATTGTTCAGTACTTTACCTGTCACTGGAACCTTGTCCAAACTTAAACTCTTACGTGTACCTCTTTTTAACTCTTGCAAAGAAAATACTTCGAATACAAACGCCCCTTAAGCCTAATTGTAAAAATTATCCAATCAAATAACAAGCTAAAACAAAAATCCAGCCCGGGAATCCAGCACTGAAAATATTCTATTCCGTTTAGGGTTTTCAACGTACACGTTCTATATTACTTTTCCATTGACAATCATATTAATCATATCAGAAAAGAGACAACGAACTGTCCTCAAAAAGTTATTTCTTCATCACTGTCTGCTGATTGAATTGAGTGACTCCCGAATTTGTCTAAATTCTGGAGAGAATCGCTCGAAATTGACAAAAACTGACAAAAAGGCCCTGACACGAGTCAATAAATGATAGTTAAAAATGCGCTGATCAATGTACACAACATTTTGAGATCAAATCAGCTTAAACAAATTCCCTTTTTTTGCCTCTCGTTTTCTCGTATACGTTATGTACGTAGTTCTTTTAAACCTCCCTATAAATAGTGAAATTAAGTGCGCAAACGGCTCCATTTTAGTCGGACAGCTTACAGACGAAGAAAAGCCCTATCGAGAATAACCGAGATTTTGTTGGCAAAATCAGTTTGTGCCATAAATCAATAGTACCATCATTTTTTCGTTAATGCTAAAAATAATTCATATACGTAGTTTTAAAAACATCTGTTGGACTTCGAATGCCTAGTCCATAGTGTATAGGGTTTAGAGTTTACACGATTAAGAACTCACAAACTGAAATTATGTAATCAACTCATTTTCCGGCGTACTTAGGTTAGATGGAAGAATGGTATTTTCAAAAAATTGTTTTTATTGAAAACTGGCTCACGGAGAGATAGTAGAATTTTTTAATTTAAGCTCTCAATCGGCACACTAATTCCACCCTTTTTCGTACATGGCGCATCATCTCACTGCTCTTGTATGAGAGGTATAAAAATCCAAAGAAATGTGTCAAACAAACAGAACGCTATGCCTGTTTTGTCCAAAAAAACTGAGTAGAAGCGGCGGAAAGGTTCATGCTTGAACAAAATAACATTTGAAGCCGGTGTAATTGCCAAGGGGGGCTCAAAAGTGCCTAATACGACCCTTGAGTCATGGCTTACTGCCAATAGAGCGGAGATCATCGAGCGACCTTTAGATTTGGCTACGAGTACGGCATTGTGAAAGAGAGCAACTTTGGAAAGCCAGTCGTGTCTACAAATAACCCCGTGTCGGGGTGGGGGCGGGGGACAATCCCATTTTTAGCAGCGATTAGAAAAGGCCGTATTCGCAGG